GATTTAATTGCTTATATTCTGTCACACGACGTTTGTGTTCTAGAAATGTCACTGTGCGCAAAAGCTACGTAAATTTTAATAAGCTGCTATTCGCGGTCGCGCAATTTTCCGTCCGACGTAAAGTTCGATTATATTCTCTCCAAAGCTTTAATCACCGTCAGTTGTCGGGAGCACGGATCGCTTTTTAATCGGCCAATCTTCGAGTTATGAGAAAATTGGCCCACTTATTATCTATCGCTTTCTCGTCGTGCGCGCGCGCGCGCGCGCACGCTTTTAATCAACATCGGCGTTATCGCGCACTTAAATCTGTCGGTGTGACTTTTAATGTCTCGGAAATGCGTTAAACAATAGGCAAATAGGCGAACCAGTTTGCGCGTAGAGAATTGCGTCAGTAACAACGTAGAAAGGGTGCTTTAATGTTAATGACTCGCGTGCAAGCTCCCTCGTGAAACTCGCGCGCACAGGGCCCATTTGCTAATGGGTATAGCGAGCGATTAATATCGTAGGCGTTTGGATGCCCTTTAGGCGCGAACAAATGGCGGGCGCGGGTCGCGCGGGAGCTTTCTGAGAATAGCGGCTACACGCGCGGGAAATCATGCACGAATATACATGTAAAATGTATAATGTATATGCGGACTTTGTTTAACGACTGTGGGTGAAAATGCGGATTGTAACGTTTTGTGGTGTAAATACATACATATTGCTATTAGTTTTGTATTGTGCAAGTTATTAGAGCCGCGATATGATATTCATCTCGTATATAAATTTAATATTTAATAATATCTATAACATAGTAACTTTGTATGATAAACACGGATTGTTTTCCTTGAGGTCTCATTAATAGTTTCATTTAAATTGTATAAAGTTTCTAAAATGTGTTGAAAACGTTTAATGGTTTATTAAATGGCTAATTAAATACGGTCTAAATGGTTAATTAAACATAGTTCTTGCCTAATAAAGATTTCAATAATTAAGTAAAAATTAATTTTATTTCTTTGAATAAAAATTTCTACAGATTAATAAATAATAGGTATAAATTGAGATAAGAAGTAGAATATATATTCATCTTTTAACTTTTTATTCTGATTTATATTATTTAGCAAAGAAATTTTTTAAAGCTACAAAGTCTTAATTTATAATGCGCTAATTATTTAAATATAAAATTTTGTAAATTCACTGGATAATCAGAGGTAGATGGGCATGAAAAATAAAAAATTCCAAAAGTTGAATATAGTGGAATAGTTGAAAATCAACATTCAAAATTATACCTATTTACGTTCAAAATCGTTTTATCTATGCTTGCATCGAGAGGTCAGTTACACTAGGCTCATGCATAATTATCAGTTTCATCTAGTATGAAATACGTTTGTGCTGATTGCCATGAGAAATAAATGAAAGTCATCTTGTTTCACGCAATAGCATTGACGCGCCCGCATTCATTCGCAATGAAAAATCGGTCGACATTATTCGCGTTATTGCCATTGGAATATTGGCAGCCGAGATGGAGAGCGAGCTCACGACAATACGGCATGCCGGCCAATGTCGGTTGGAGAAAATGGCGGAAATATAAAGCTCTAATGGCTTTTGGCGGGACTGGGATATCGATTCTCGTGCAGCTCCGCGCATTAATCGATCGTAAATGTTGCATAAATACTTGCGCGACCGCCACGAATCCGCCGAATAGTTCCGCGCGGAATAATGTCAGCCTTGCTGGAATTCAATTCATTTCAACAGGTCACATATAATTCAATTTAACACGCATAGTCCAACGGCATTGTTTTTACCGTCGAATCAACACGTTCCGCATCACAGAACGCGATATCATTGGAATTGTGCATTGCACGACCGATAATGTTACGTGTCTTGTGCACAAAGCGACCATATCTCGATTATTGTTTTTCATTAACATGATTAATTAATCTTTTAATTACATGCCTGGTCGCGGCTTCTTAAAAGTCCGGGCGCCGTTTATATTAAACGGGTTCACGTCCATGGATCATATCTTAATTACGTTACCTAAATATAATATAACAATATAATCGCGCGATTCATTGTGCTTAACCGTTATCTGCCTTATTCCCCATTTATTGCGATAAAATGAACGGCATGCGACAAAGCAGACATCAAGTCGCGCTAATTGAAAACGCAAGCATATTAAACGTACATATACACCGTTGTCGTGATCACGCGCTAATGCGATTATTAGCGTTATCACGATTTGGTCGACTAACAAGTAGGCGCGTACATATATTGACACACGGTCGAAAGGCGTTTACTACATTCCCGGAATATTTTGAATATTCAAATACGCGAACATTGCGAAAGCAAAAGCTGATCGTCGTTGAGCGGCCAAAAGTGTTTGCACACGGCAGCTAGGAAATTGCGAGCATTATCGCGCGGCTCGATCCCACGGCACTCTCGCATTCTCGAGAGGATCGATACGAAGGCTACAATTAACTGGATACAGTCGCGCCGGCAACCGACAGATATTTCACTGACTGGCGCAAAATATTTCGCTGGCTCGACCCTTTTTTCCATGCCTCCCTCTTGCCCGTCTCGCTCGCGCACCGAACTTCAGTTCGGTGGAATTTCAGCCATCGTGAGGTAATTTTTCAAAAATTATCCGTCCGCTTCATTAAGAATAACCAGCGCCGCAAATGGGCGTAAACCTGCGGAAATTTTTTTCGGAATGACGGAAAAACGCAGGGCGGGTTCTTCTATTCCACGTATAAACTTTTCACGTCGAGAGTCGTCGAGAGACGTTGTCGTTAACTTTTTATCGAATGGGTATGGATTTTCGATACGAAATGTATTTTAAAAACGAATTCAATTATTTAAAGTGGCACTTTTCAGGTCGATAATTTAAGCTAATCAAAAAGTAGATGCGAAAATGACGAATATGAATACTTTTTTTTATCTTACAGTATGATTTTTTAAAAATATTGTACAAGACACTATCTCAAAGGTAAACTGTAACGACAAAGTAGAAAAAAGTAATAAAAAGTTGAATCTATGATCCATATAAACGACGAATTGTCACCAAACTTTTGTAAGCCCCAGGCTACAAAAAAAATACATTATAAACTGTTGCTCTCTGTAAAATAAACTTAACTTCTTTTATACTCTCTTAATTGAAACTTTTTCGTTTAAATCTTTATTCAAGATTTACTGAAATGCTTAGAACACATCTAAAATCAATTTATGAACTTTAAAATTTATTGTTATAAACTTTTTAAAGAAAAAGTATAACATATTTTTTAATCTATAAGCTTAAATATAAATTTATAATTTTTTAAATTTCTTTATATTGTTATTGACGATTATGCGACGCGCAGTTGTCTTGAACTAAAAAATTGTAAGATTCACATATTATTAAAAATATTATTATAAATAAACACAAAGATCCGTTTTGTATAGTTTTAGCATTTTTATCATCCTTTCTTGTATGAAACAATTTACGGTCTATTTAAATACTTAATTATTTATATTGTATTTATGTTGCATTGTTGTAATATTTAATTTGTGTATTAATCCGTTTATTGAAATATGGCATATTAAATAATTTTTAAATCATTTTTGAAAAAACAAAATGTATATAATTAAAAAAATTATTTATATTTTTTAAATGGCTTTCCTTGTCTTTTAAGATTATATTATCTGTTTTCCGTAGTAAAATTTAATTATCTTAAGTTGCTTAATGCTTTTTTATGGATTATTTCTATAATTAGAAATTATAGGCTCTTAATACTTTATTAAGAAACCATTTATAATTTAACTCAAATTAGTCAAAGAAGTCATAAGAAATGATTCAATATAATATGCTCTGAGAGAATATCTTGGTATATCTTTCTACCTCTTAATAGACTTAATATAATTGCGTCTAGATTACTTTAACATGGAAAAAAATTGCAGTAGGACAAAAAATTTTAATCTATTCAGCATTAATGGAAAAATAATCGTAAGTAAGGATTTTATAGATTTAAAAAAGGATTTTATAGAAACAAGAAGCACAATTTTTATTTTTATTTTAATATTTTAATATTAAATAAGTTTAAAATATTTTTTATTATTAAGGTATTCTATTAATGTCGTATTACAAAATGAATAATTTCTATTATATTAACTATTTTCTATTATATCAACTTAGTTTCCAACATTGTTAGTTAATGATGGACGCATGTAAAAAATCTATCTAATTTATAAAATCATCGATTACTTGCGTATTTTTAATTCTCGAATGTTCGACCGTACGCATATTGAGTTATGTATACCTTCTCGCTTTCAATACAGAAAGTTTAATAATTTTCTATTATGCAATATTTCTCCCCCCAAAAAAAACGTTATCTGAAATTTATTCAGATTTTGAAGAGAAATACGTTCCTGTTCAAGCAGAATTTAAACTTTTTCTAGAACAGAGTTATTATTTTACGGATTTTTGTCACCGCATACATGAAGATGCAATATTAATTTAAAAACATAACTACAATGGATAATATGATTATCTTGAATGCAATATTATTAACTAAAAAAAAGTTTAAAATCATCTATGAATTAAGAAAATAATTGATAGAAGAAATTTATAAACGGGTAGCTACAAGTTACGAATTATTTTTATATGCAATACTAAATAGTTCCATACAGTTCTTTTACTGCAGTGAAAATATAATTTACTTAGCTGCTGCGTTGAAAAATAAATAGCTTGCATTACATGAGACACGTACTAAAACATGTTTTATAGTAGCAGGGCATCAATTTCATTTTATACGTAAACGCGAATTTGATTGTTAAAACGAAGAGATCATGTATTATGGAACTTTTTCGGGTTAAGAACGTTGGTGCATCAATCTCGTGCCCCCACAAGATGATCTGCAGCTCCTTTTTGTAGTAAAATACCGACCGTAAAACAGAAGTCAGATCGGTATATCATACCACTTACGTGACGGTAGTTACCGGGGAGTCTATAAATCCGAAGGAGGGGAGGACAAATAAAAACGACTCACCTTGGAAAGCAGCCTCGAAGGTGGTCTTCTCCTCCACGGGGTTCTGGGCGAGCACCGGGACGACCGACAGGTATCCCAGGATGATGAAGAGCCGGCAAACGTAGCGTAGTCCAGCCATTGTCCAGCGATAAACATGCACACGTCGCTGGGGGTCGATAAGTCCTTACTGTCGCATGCTCCAGCGAATCCTGTCGATCACTACGCGGCACACGCGAGGCACACTCTCTCTCTCAATCTGCCGGAATCACTAATTACTCGCGACTATTAGCACCAAACGGTTCGAGATGCACAGATACGAGACACTCGTCACAAACGCGGTGAACCGACGCTGCGACAACCGATCACGCGAGCCCCGTTGACTTTCTCTGTGAATCAAATGAACCAAAGTACCGATAAGTAAAAAGACAGAAGAATTCAGATTCCCGACAAAAGGGAAGTGTGTTTTGACAAAATAATTTTCACAAATTTGAAACCGACGCTACGTCTCAAATATTTTACACGATAATTGTGCGCAATTGTTATTTACAAAAAATTTCCTGCAAAAGCAATTTTTACAGGAATGTTTAAGGAAGGATCAAACCCAATGCGAAGTTTTAATATTAAAGAGAGAAAGGAAAGCAGTTGTCGCTAAAAAGAAGAAAAGTGTATAGAAGCTTTTTAATAATGCGATAGCGCGCGTCGTATAAAAGACAAACTCAGGCCCCGGCTATCGTGATGACGATCGCGAATATCATTCATAGTTCTGCAAAAGTGAATTGACACAGGTCGAGGTCGATTCAGTTGCAAATGGCGTGTACGTAACAAAGTATCCGCGGCGTTTACTATTCTCGTTATATCATGGCAAATGATAGGTCTCTATTTTCGCACGATACCCGATGCAAATTTACTTGACACCGTATGCATATCAATGCGGGCATGCATATTTCCCGCGGGCTCGCACAAAGGGGGTTGTTTTCGCCTCGCTCTCGGTCTCTATCTCCGACTTTTTCTCTCTCTCTCTCTCTCTCTCTCTCTTCTCTCTCTTTCTTTTTCTTTTTTCCTTTTTTTTTATTTCTCAAAATTCGCAGAGCGAAGAGACGGGGAGGGACGGTATAATCGTGCATCACGCCGCGAGAACTCCCGAGACGCGATCATCCTCTCGCCGAGAACGCCGCGCCGCCCCGGCAGGATGTTTGTGCATGGCGGAAAATGTAAGGCGAATTGCTGCAACGGCCGGATTAACGGCGCGAACTCGCGAGTATTAACGTCCTTTAGAATTAGGTTTTTCGCTTATTGCCAGACTTGCATTACACCGTCCCGTCGCAGGCGCCGTCGTCGGTGTCGCCAGACGCGAACGTTACGTGAATATGCAAGACGCCACGTCCGGGGTACGCAGCTGCAGAAAAAAAGTCAACCGTATACCGTGGTTAAAATTAAATTTTCGGGGTATTGTCGGAGCACGTGACTTCGTTATGCGGGACAATATGCGAGATAAGTTAATATCGCGTGCAAATCTCATTTACGTCGAGTATGTCGATTCGAGTAGTTAATTTAAGCGATAAATTTCGCCAGCTACGGTGAATAATATTATCCTTGTTTGTGCACTGTGTTTTAATTTTTTCTGCTCCTCCTGTTTTTTTTGTCTGGATTAGAATGAACTCTCGTAATGAAAAATAATTAAAAGGAAAACAGAAATCTATTACGTATCCTGTAAGCTGATTATTATTTTCGTAACTCGCGAAGTAGCTGAAGTAAAATAAAATTTTAACAAGATGAGGCGCATAAAAATTGCTGCAGGCTCGTAAAATTCGAGAAGAAGTTAAGTAATCGGTTTGTCGATTATATCGGGCAGGCTGCATCACGTCCGCTGCTTTTAGATTTCGACGGGGATCGAGGTAGACGCGGAGCTCGATATCGACTGTCGTAGCCGATAGTTGACGTTTCAGCTTAAGTCACCGACTGGTGTCACGAAGTTGCGGCAGATAAGATTACTCTGGCAGAGCCTCGTGGCCGAAATTTCCATCCCCGGGTCGCGCGATGTATGCATGTAAGCTGCGCGCAGCAGTCGGTGGGTAAAACGCATTGGGTTTACATCCATCGCATTACACCGCCGATGTCTTATGGATATCGAGTGCGTCTCATATCTTCTCGTATCTTCTCACATAACGTTTGAGAAATTGGATTTTTTAACTATTGAAATTCGCGAAATCTCTCAGACGTCGCGGACGTCAAATATTCGTCTGACAACTGGCAACGTGGTAAGGAGATATTAAATTCCTCAAGGAATTGGACACGCGGAAAAGAAAAATTGCGATTTATCTCCTAATCTTATTCCACCAATTCAATTAAATCGATTACTCCGTAAAATGAACATGTGAAATGTAAATAAAAACAAATTTTACGTAAACTGATATAATTGTGAAATTACAAAAAATAACACATCGAGCGCGAAATTATAAATGTTAGGAATATTGATATAAACATTTGAAAAATACGGCTTAATTGTTACATCAATTGTTTGCAAAACTTTTCGTGCGAGTAAAAAATTAATTGCAAAAAATATTTGTCTTTCAAAAGTGATTTAATTCGACAAATCGCCTATAAAAAGTCTTTTCTACTTTGGCATAGTTTTTGCAAAAAAAAAACTTGCACGTTTTTTTGACAAAGTTCAAAATATAACATACTTATTTAGCATGACATATATAATTTATTCTTTATGCATTTTAAAAATAATCCTATCTCCCGATTTGTTTTTAATAATCCCAATTATTATATTTGTCATTTGTGCTTTGAACCAATTATATCTTACGAGATAAATTGCCTCTCTCTGGAGAGCTTTTGTTATTACATTTTATTTATTGATTGATGAAAATTTATTAATGGTTCACTCTGTATTATATTACCGGTGTGTGTCTTTATCTGTGTAAGACGAATCGTGACAAACTAAATTAGCAATCGCAAATTTATGTGTAATTTAATGTATGCGATATATGCCGGCTAGGTATATGTATGTATATAGATTTTATATGAACTACAAAATAATGTACAACATTAAATTAACAATTTTCTGCCACAAACTAATATCATATTTAATGCCGTTATAATTAAATATCGAATATTGTAAGTTTAAATATTGGAATATAACAAAGTCGTCACGATAATTAAATATGACAATCAATAATTAAAGAGTTTTTCTCAATACAAATTAATATTTGTTTCCGTGGAAAAGATATTCAATACGCTCGTCTGCTACAATTCAGGATTTCCTTATGTATAAGCTATATTAAAAAATTTTGTTAACACATCAATTATCGTTTTAATCTCGCTACTTTTTTGTTCAGTTTTCCTATAATTATATTTCTTTTTTATTCGACAGATTTTTCATATTTTAGGAAATGTATTTACAGTGACATATTTATAATATCGAATATAAACTAGCGCTCCCTCTCTAGCTCTCTCTCTCTCTCTCTCTCTCTCTCTCTCTCTCTCTCTCTCTCTCTCTCTCTCTCTCTCTCTCTAACATTTTACAATATATTAATATACTGCCATTTACTGCATTAGTGCAATAATTACGTGCGAAATATGGGAGCAGCTTGCAGCTTTACCGCAGCTCGTAATAATTTAGTATTTGCGCAACACAGGCCGGCGAGAATTTCAGGAGAAGCTTTTTTCGCGCGATACGATTCAGGCTGCTGCAAAATACAATGTGACAAAGGGAGAATCAGGTTGCACTATTGTGCCATTATCCGGCGGCTCGGTAACAAACAGATTTTAACCCTTAACAAACTGATGTTCAGCGTCACTCGATACGTAGCTTAAAGCCGTTCGTAATTCGATTGAAGCAAATACTCATTCACAAACTAAACTCTAAATCTCCTATTGCTTGTACTATTTAATATTGAAATCGTGTGTATATAACGCATCACTTCCGCATTAATCATTCGCAATAAATAATATTTAATTTTCGGTAAAGAATAGAGAATGAATTTAACTGTTTAGATTAGCTAACAATATCGCATTGAAATTGATATAAAAATAATGCTGATTGATGTGTTAAACGAATCTATTTTTTAACTTAGTTTATATTTATATGGAAATTCCTGTAGCGTAAAAAAGCGTATTAAGGATCTTTTTTCGCAAATATAAATACTTATGTATATTCATATCGGACAAATTCTTTGATACGGAAAATATCCGGGATTTTTTATATAAATGGAATATTTGTTTAATTGAACACTCGTCCGCGTTGACACATTAATACTGTATCAATACCGTAACATCTCTAACGATTACCAAATAATCTACATGGCTAAGCGTGAAATTCGTTGCTCCAAGAAAGATTGGCCATCCGACGCACCAGTCCGTGGCGTGCGAGCAACAAGCAACCGACCTCGAAAGACGCAATAATATACGCCCTCGTAGGGAAACGATTAGACCGTCGAAGATCATACGTGAGAAATAATTTTTGATCGATAGGGGCTGAAGTGTCCTTTCTCTCTCTCTCTCTCTCTCTCGCGCGCGCGAGAGACTCGCCGCCGAAAATACGGTGCGTGCGTGCGTGCGTGCGTACGGATACGCAGCTTATCGAGCGATCGCGCGCGGCGGGCCGCGAGCCGAAGGGCCGCTGAATCAATAAGAGAAAAAGCGTCGCTTCCGCGACGTTGCCCTTCGGGGGAAAGGCCACTTATACGCGCGTCGTCGGTCCGGCGCGAATCGGAGCGGTCGCGAGCGGTCGCCGAGATGCCACGGAACTCCCGGTTCTCTCCCGTAGGGTTCGCGGCGCAACCCCCTCGCCGAGCGCACCGTCCAACCCCCGTTTCGCGTCGCCCTGCGTCGCGTCGCGCGTCGCGCCGGCGGAAGCTCGACGATTTTCCCCGTACCTGTCGCACGACACGGCTGCCTCTCGTTCTCGTCGCAGGCAAGATCTTTTTCCTCTCTATACTCCTTTTCTACCTTTACGCGAACGAAGGATGCACGAACGAACGCACACACGCGTCGCGGAGCGTCGCGACGGCCGTCGGTGCCGGCCGGTGTCTCCAATCGAACTGCGGGGGTAGTTCGACGGTGGCGCCGCCGAGGGACGCCGCCGCCACCACCGCCTCCACCACCGCCACCACCACCGCCGCCACCGCCGCCGCCACCACCGCCGTTGCCGCCGCCGCCGCCGCCGCCGCCGCCGCCGCCGCGCGGCATGCGTCATAACGCCGCCGCCACCGCCTTCGATCGGCCGCCATTTTTTTACCCGAGCCGCTGCGTTACTAACCCCCTGAAAACATTCCGCCTGGAAATGCGTGCCTTCCGATCGAGGGTGCGCGGAAGGCCGACCAGGGATGTAGGCGCCGGGGATGCGGAAGCGACCATAAGGATCGCGTTTGCCCCGCGCGCTCTAAATTATCTTCTCTCATTTCGTGAAAGTGAAAAGAGAAGACATGACGGATTTAGAACGGTAAGGGAATTAGGACCGTAAAATTTATATTAAACTATGCATTGAAGATGGAGATTACATCTCGAGATTGAGATTTAGTTCACCGAAGTTAAAACGGGTAATAATTAAAAATTGAAATTTTAAACTATTATCAACCAATGCCCCTTTTTTGATCAATGATTAAACAATTTTTAATCTTAAGTTTTATCGGTAAGTAAACGATTGAACAATTTTTAAAACAATTTTAGTTTTAATTCTTAACGCCAATTTTTAATTAACAATTGAACAATCTTTAATTTTTTTAAAGCAATTTTAATCTTAGTGTTTATAATTAAGTCCTTTTGAAATAGATGACCTGAAAAAAAATGTCAGGAATTTTTATTTGATATTTTTATTCTTTTTTATATCCAGTATATTCGATATTTGTCATATCTTAAATGTTTCTGTATTTTATTTGTTCTTTTAAAGCACATCACGTATAAATATATAAAGCTATAAATTTATTTTTAACAATTGATATACATATGAAAATAGGTAGTATATGAGTTCATGAACCCGTGCGCTCCAGTTACGCGAGATGTCTTCACCACTTCAGTTAAGGGTTAAATTGACCATTACATGGAGAGGATTCAACAAGAATACTCAATTGCCTAGATAGAGAGTGGCTGAAAATTTAATGGTAGCTCTGCGGAGCAATGTAAAACAAAAGATTCAAAACACACAGTGAAAACACGTTGGGTTAATCACTATTTTTAACTGAATAGTTTGCCTTACGAAGATTTAAAGCGATTTCGGAGTTTAAATGTACATGGTGATTTTTACACGCGAATTCCCCAACATAAACATTCTCCAAGCGGTTGCACGGATAATAGGATAGAACGATTGAACAAAAGAAAACTAGCTTTCAAATTTTATTCTATTAATGTTAAAGTTAAACATCTAATTTCTAACTGCATAAATCGAAGATTAGAATTACATTTTCGCGGTATCAATTTTCATTTTCATAAATATATATATATATATGTATAGACAATAATACATTAAATTTTTTATGAAAACAGAATACTTAAAAATAATACTATTAATAGCTATTTGTAGGTCGGACTGAATTATACATTTTCTCGAAGCGTATTATATCAAATTTGGTATATTATATTAAATAATATTTTAATAATTTTTTTTACAAATTCTAAATAACTTGATTTAATAAATGTGTTACATAAGAAAGAAAAGTGATCACAAATGTTTTTACTTTTCTTATTTTACAAAAAACATAATTCTTAGCTTTTATATCAATTACATTTTTAAAGTTAATATTATTAAAGTAATACGTACGATATAAATACTGCATACATTTATCAGGGTTCCGAATAAGCCCGTATACAGTCCTGCGTGATAGCCTCAGGCTTTGTTGATTGGTTAACGTGCCAGGTGAGTCTGACTATTATCGGAATGTCATCACTGAATTGTCCATCACGGCTAGCTTGAAAGTTGGCCTATACCCAAAAATCAATAGAACAAGAGCATTTATTGTCATAGATTGTATCTTATCAACACAGTTCGCTGTTACATCACACGTTCATTAATTTCCTATCTCGATGCAGTTTGTTATTTACAATACCGCATACATATTAAAAACAAACAGGAAAAAAAAATTAATGCATCTTATCGTACGATTAAATTGCAAAATAAACGTAGAGTTTACCGAAAAAATAAATTCCAGTAAAGTGAGCAGAACGATTTTTATGTACATATTAATTTTTTTTAATAAAAATTTAATGTGTAACACACCCACATATAGAAAAATCAATATACTGATATTTTATACTACAATTTTTCGTATTGCACGTGTAGCGATCGATAATGAATTTATTAATCCATTAGAGTTTTGCTTTGATTTAGTACTATGTTTTTTTATGTTGTTAAATAAATTTGTTTTATATATTAACAATCAATGTGTCAAGAGATTAATCCAAAAATAACGTATACGGGAACGAAAATCATTTACATATCAATTATACACGATGAAAATATTATTGATACCGATATTGTATTCTTGTAATCGTTAGAAAAAAGAGCTTTATGAAAACATTAATAAATTTATTATGTGCTCAAAGACGTTTATTTTCACGCTGAACGTCAATTAACTTCGAACATGTTCCTCAATTGTCCGATTTATTCGCAACACCCAATATATGGCGCTATGAATTTCATCAGTTTGCCGTAGCTCCCCTTTATTACTTTAGAAAACTCAAGTTCCACGTAATCCGGTTAACAGCAGCACCTCATACTTAATCGTGTTCAACCGGTGACCTATTCTGCAGGATCCTGACGATAAACGGATGATCCCGGGGGGATAATAAAGAAGGGGGTAATCCTCGCGAAAATCTTACAACGGGACTCGACAAGATAACAATTTCATTTAATAGTTTATTATCGATGTATCTTTATCTCTCGTCCCATGTGGCATAGAAAACAGAGACATTGGGCAGATATATTGCTGTCAGATTGCAATATTACAGATATATTGCATAATATATGTATTACTGCTACAACATTATATTGTAGGAATAACGTTGGAATATCTGCATTTACAATATTTTTCCACTTTGCCGCTCTTGGCGAATGATCCGATATTATGTTTTACAATTATTTTGTAATATTTTTACGATTTTTTAAGCGTTTATATTGCTACCATTTTGTTAAAATTTTATATAATGTTTCTATTTCTCTTGGAAAGTTTTTGTCTGCAACATTGTATTGCAGTTTGTGATACAGCTAAAAGGTTCTGTGGTATGTGCGGTATCATATCGTTGTATACCAAAAATCAATAACGAGAAAGCTCATAGTTTTACTTCAATCATCTCTGAGGTAGCAAATAAAAATCCCTGAAGTAAACAACGAAAAGGAAGAGGGAGACGGGCTCAGGTCTGCTTGGTTCGCAGACGTCCTATTAGTTTGTTGCGCGTTATATTAATTTCATTATTAAACATTTATTTCTTCAACATAAACATAGTTATCTTTATTTTATTCCGCGCTAGTTCGATTTTGATAACAATATAATGTATTATTCAATACATATACATATGTATTAAAAAATACGCTACATATGTATTTACGATACAAAACGCTGTTACGTATTGAAGAAGGATTAACGTAATTAGTATATCTAAAAATAATTTTAGCTTTATTAATAACTGTACTAATAAGCTACTATAAGACGCAAATTTTTCTAGCAATTATAAAATAGGCCGAGCAAATTTTGCACTGCACTTTACAACTCCATTAAGTTACACGCTTTTCATGAACACCTTGTATATTGTTAGATTATCAATTTACTTCTGAAACATGATAAATTTGACCGTAATCCATCTTATGGCCATTGAATCCAGAGTCTATATACGTATATGTATATATTTATTAACAATCAATAAGGCTAACAATGTTATGTACTATTGGCAATGCCGATCGCGATCGGTCACGGACATAATAGGTATAAAAATTTGCAAGATTTAAAAGTACTTAAAAAATCTAATACTGTAAATTACGTTATATAAATAAGTATTATGTAAAAAAATAGAAATGCACCATTTACGTAAAAAATCGTCCAATTTTTTATGATTTATCTGCAATCTCTATCTACAATATAAATCTTATGTTTACAAAATCTCGTGTATTTCCATTGATTTGTCATAAAAAATTTTTCTGTTAAAAAAAAAGATTTAATTTGCATTTAGATTAAAATAACATGAAAGTGATTTCTCGGAATAATCAGTCCTATTAGAAAGAAAAACGAAAAAAATTGAAGATCGCAGCATTTTAACAAATAATATTCGCGCAAAAGAAATGAAAACGATTATCATTCTTATTTGATTAATATTAATCTAACTGTAATATAAATATAAAATATAAATATAAACGTACTATATAATATTTTTATCTTCTGAACTTTCAAAAATAGTTTCTTTCTTAATATATATTGGTATAACTATTTGCGTAATTTGCGATGAATTTATAATGTTTTTGTGAAATACATTTTTAATATTTTTATGTTTATTATGTATACTACGCGAGTTAATGAAAATTACATTATTTTATGTAGGCAAGTCGTGTTTCTAGTAAATGCAAAAATTACTACAAAATATCGCAAATAATTTATACAAATTTTTCCGATTATATTATTATCGTCGTCGTAATTACGGATAATATCGCAATAATTAGTATACAGGCATTTAACAGGTTTCGATGTGTTCATCGTAAGAGTATGATGTCAATTACGCATTTAGTAGGGAAGGACGGGGCTATTCGGAACTCAGCGCAACTCGGAACCCTCGCTATATCTCGAATACTGCATTATCGAATGTCAAATTGAATTTTACCTATAGGTTGCGCCTTTTTAGCCTGACATTTATGATTATATGACGCTTACATTCGGTAATGCAGTAGTCAAGATATAGCGAGGGTTCCGAAGTTGCCCCAGGTTCTGAATAGCCCCGTCCTCCCCTACGTATAATAGTAATATCAATTATGCTATCGGTAAAGGCGATGTGATATACAATTAGCATTATTATGTAGAAATATATGGAATATTGGATAATTGATAACGTCTAAAAATAACGTTTATACGATAAGAGCCTAAAAAAATATAATTTTCGCTTTAATCATGATGTAATTTAGACTAGTCGCAGTTTTCTACACAAAAAAAGTTAATATCTTTCCCAGGATATTAACGGTAAGATAGAAAAACTTCGTTTAATAATTCGTAAAATATTCATTTAATAATGAAGCAGTAATGAATAATGTAAGTATTAAGCTTATGTCTTCCAAGTAAAGTAAGAATGTTATATATACAGAAACGTACTTTGATTACGATATTATATTATCGATGCGTAATCAAAATGAAGATTGACGATTCTAGCAGAGAAACCTAAAAAAACGCTATAAAAACAATCGTCAGCGATATCTTCGTCTTCGCACATTGTCGTGGGCGCGATTTGCATCTTTACACGAATAGGATTTTACGTCGTCGTGTTAATTTGCATATAGAAAGTCGCACCGGGAGTATATCGTCACTGCGACAACGGCCGCGACATCGGCCTCATCCGGTCGAAATCCGGGCGAGTATCGCGGCGGTGACGAATATTTCCATGGCGTTGATTAGCGGCCTTAGTAATTCGAAATAGTGTTGGTGAAGGTGGCCCACGTTTCCTCGATGGGTGCCAACACGGTGATCACTATGAGGACTGCGGCGAACGCGACGATAACCACAAAGTACACACCGAAAATGAACTTCCGCATACCGGAGTGCTGTCGGGGAAAATATTCAAAATGAGAACTTTGTTTGCGCACTGATATTTGTTTGTGCAATGGATTATTTTTCGACGCGATACCGTTTCTCAGTGTCAATGTAGCATCGTGAATTGCTGATTGATTTGTATAATTTATTGCAAATTTGTAAGAAATAATATATATTTATTCAACTACAAATATCTTTTGAATTTTTCTTATTAATTTTGCTTCAATCACAATTCAAATTAAATTTTTAAAAATTTTACGAGTAATTTTATTTATAGAAATGTATATATTTGTCTCATTTTTATGCAATTATAAAACATCTTTCATCGTGAAATGTGCTTTTCATTATGTTGTAGAAAAATAAAAATTTTGCCATTATTATTGTTAGACTTTATAGTATTTACGAGAAATGCATTAAATAATTTTTTAAATATGACACATTAACAATATCATTTTTCTTTCCTTTCTATCAATTGTCAATTTTATTAACGTCTCACGGCGGATCGACACATGTTAGAAAGACGGCTCGATTACGTCACTCTTATTTTAGAAAATCTTACGGGAGCGTCTCGTCTCGCATCTGGATGCACCATTGATCCACGAGAATGCATGTCTTTCATCGGGAATGAATTCACTCTCTGACTAGCTTGTCTGTCAGAGGCACATCCAAGGAACTGCAATAGAAGCAAAAGTGTCACAAATACCACAATCGGAATTAAGTCTCGAGTAAGGTGATTGTTATTCGACATTGACACAAATTCCAGATTACATGTTCTTTCCTAAGAGATTGCGTAAAATCCTATTTCTATATGCCATTTCCATTTTCTGTGAAAATGCAATAATCTAAAAGAGTTTGATATTTATTAATTTAGATTCAATGTCAAAATTGTGGTTATTGCATTAATAAATTGCTCGATTAGATTTTTCCGTGATTTCCTCTCGAAGACTTTTCGAGATTTTCAGAATTTTTTCTTGAATTTGACAAATAAAAAATCCTTACTGTGAGAATGAGATGAATTAGAACATGGAAGACCACGAATGTTGTGAGGATCCAGTCGACCCAATCCGGCAGTTTAGCCTTGTTCAGTCGTACCGCGAAGAAAAGCGCGACCACTAAAAAAAATGTTTATAAAAAGTTAATACTAAAATATTAAATTGTCCTGTGTATGTTTTCGTGAAAAAAATTTATATTCAGTATTATATTATCTTTTATTATCATACCAAATAATATGAGATTAAAGTGAACAAAAGTTTCCACATCTATTCATTACTGCAATAATTTTTTCGCTGTAAAGACACTATAAGAGTATGAAAAGTACAAAATTATAAAGAAAGTCTTCAAATAATGAGGTAAAAGGAAAATGTATGATACATCGAAAAATAATATTGAAGATAAAAACTTATTTACTCTTTTATTTACAAACTTACAAGCACATATTTTTGCCACATTGCCGACGAACCAATGAGCCCAATTGAAAAGGACCCTTCGCGGTGCGCCAGGATGTGGTCTCATAGCTGCCATGAATGGCTGGATAAAGCATAGAATCGTAGTCGCCACGCCGACCGAAGCGTGTATCGTCTCGGAACTCCATGTGCCCAATTCCACGAATATTAACACGAAGGCTGCGATAGTCATCGACCACGTGAGCAACATAAAGAACCTGTGCCACTTGGGGAAAAATTGATAGGCTTTTATTAGAAAGAAAGACGCGCGAGAGAAAGATGACATGAGATGCTTTCCTTTTGCGTGATATGAACGTTAATGATATACACTTCAAATATTGAGCAGTACTAGTATTTCGTTAACGATGCTAAGGTATTCGAGTAATATAAAGTTAATGGTACTGAATATTACAATAAAAGTGGTATAATAGGAATAAAATAACAATCGTTTACTTTCGCATTAAATTTTAATTTTATTATTCTAAAATTCATTATATAAATAACATATAACGAAAAAAACATAAAAATTTTTTAAATGATAATAATATGCAATCTTTATAAATTATTTTCTTTGTATAAAAATTTTATTTAAAATTTAATTAATTTCTTTGAATGTGAATAAATAAAAATAGCTTTTTTTCTCTCTAATAAAAACAAATTAATCCGAGATTTCTAATTTTTAGTGTTTTAGCTGTTAATAATAGCAAGATATTATTTAAGACCGAATGCTAAAATAATTAAATGTATTATATAAATTAAAATTAAATTAAATTCATTCATAGAATAAATTCAAAATTTAATGTAAATTTAAAAAACAAATCTTTTTTTATGAAATTATCATAAAATAAAAAATGGCAGTTTATTGTGACAAAAAATAGAAGTTAACTGAATTAATAATAATGGCAATATTATTTAACGCTCTGTAATATTTAAAAGCATAAGAAAAGGATATGAGAAGAATGTTAAATGTTGAATAGCTGCGCTGTTGCCTGAAAATTCCGCACTTACAGCGAACCAGTGATCCTTTCCACACAACTGCGAGTTGACCCAGGTCTGTCTATAATATCTCGCGAGTAACATCCCGATGGAGGCCGTGCCGATCCACGATGCCAGCATAAGCGCGCCGTGAAGACGAATCAGTAGGTCAGATGCTGCGGTGAATTCCCCAACGTCGGATAATCTCTTCGAGGTGCTGGTCCCAAGATAGATGAGATTGTGAAAGTCGACGCCGTTTGCTGAAAAAAAATGGAGCAACGTGATATCTGTAAATCTTTTGCATATAAGAGTACAGACCAACTTCCCGTATCTTGCTGGCGTGTTGTGTAACGTTACTTTTAATCAATCTAATAATCGTCGCGCCAGCAAGAATTCCAGAAGTCGATCTACCTGAATCGCATTCTATTCAGGTTTCTGTTCGTTCATGCGGAAACATAAGGAAACTATCAAATTTGCAGTTATCGCAACCTGCGACGAGAAAGTCGTAAAGTTCTTACACACTTTGCTCACGGCGAAAATACACGGGAAGTGAACTTTACGAAGTCTCGTCAAGGTTTCTTCTCTTTCTCTCTCTCTCTTTCTATTTAAAGAAGTGCGACGGCAAATCGTTACGTTATAAATCTGACATTACCGCGGTCGTTAATTCATAAAACCTGTCTCTCACTGATTTAATAATTAGTAACAATTTCCCCAGTAGATTTTACACATATATGTATAATAATGTTGAAATTGTATATTCCATATTCAGCTTATACGTACATCTCAGATCTGTGCCGGCGGCCACGAGGAGATGGTACGGAGTGTTGACAAGGTCATACGTACGTCCCTGAATGTTAGTGAGCTTCTCCCGTCGAAACTTGCAGTATATCATGTCATTTCTGATCACGCCGCTTTCCAGCTCGACCGCGCCTTCCGACTGTGGACGATCGCGAATATAGCAAGATTAACAATTACACGCGAATCTATAGAAAACGAAGTCAGAATAATTCACGATGCACACACATAAGATGATTCTAAAATGAATCTCCATATTTTGCAGAGAGATACTTTTCAATTAATTTACAATCGCTTTTGCTCTGGCAACAAAATTGAATATATATTTAAATGACGACGTAAATTTTAACGTTTAAACGTAATAAATTCAACAAATTTTTTTAACATTTAAATTTCACGGTGAAACTTTAAATTCAAATTTTGATAACATTCTATAAAATTAGACGCTAATTCGTTAATATGCCATTTCCAGCGGATATGCGGTAAGATTTGAGGTCGGACTGTTAATGAGCGAGCTTATAAAGCGCGAACACCCTTTATATGGGCAGAAATATCCTTTATATGAGCCGCGTAATTATTTGTAGGGTTTAAAGATTTACAGCATTATCGTAGGTGAGAGCGACACCGCCGGCTACGGCTAGTACAATAATTGGGATTTAATGGGCCAGGCTCGTTGTGTGCGCCCGCGCGCGACAGAGCACAGGGCGAATTAATTAATACAACAGTGCATCTAGTCGGAGGGCGGTGCCGGGCCATAGTGAACGATACTCACCATCCTGTAGCGCGTATTACGCTTGCCGGAATTCCAAGACGTGTGTAACGCAATTTCGCCATTCTCGTTCGTGCACTCGACTACGCTGTCCTCGCCCTGCACACCCCATTTCGCGTATTATAAACCTTAACCATTACTGCTTATATGTTGGTCTCGTAAATTGCGCGCGTAATTAATTGCAAATACACGTCGCATTAATTTCTAGTCGATGATGACACCGTTAATTGCCAAGTAAATAATATTACACGTTTGACGTTAAACAAACTAGCCAGACAAAGAAATTCAATTGCGTTCTGCGTAACCATTCAAACGTGCGTTAATTAATTAAAAATCGAAATACGAGTCAGACGTTAAAATTATTTAATTATTCAGGATGTACACTTACTGCGCGCTGACGATGTATATTTAATGATTATTGCAATTAATATCTCTCAAAGGGAAAGATATAATAGTTCTCGAAATCCACAAATCTAAGTTTTTTTTCTCAAAAGCAATTACATCGAAGAAAAGGTACTGAGAGGCGTAGACAAATATTGCAGCAAGATAATAGAAATCTCGAGAAGCCCGCGGTGGAAAAACGGCAGCGAGAAGTAACTTCACACACTTAATATAAAATACTTTCGCGGAGATTATGCAAGTTTCCGCTTAAATCGCACGAGAGTTTGAGAAAGAAGCTGCGCGCGGGAGGATACTCCAGCGAGCGCGGCGTCTCTCCCGCGCCAATTACCATATTCTTATCGTCCGACAGGCCGACAGCGACGTATTTGGCATCCTTCCGCGCCTGCAACTCGAAATGATATTCGTCGCCCTGCACGATCACGGCCACCACGGCGACGCAGTCCTTGGTTTTTACGCAGCCCGCGGGCGCGCCGAAGCAGTTCTTGGTGGTGTGGCAGCCCGTGTAGAACGGGTCCACCTCATCCTTCGCCTGCAACGAGAACACACACCTGGGGATGACGCGGGGAATTTACTGGCGGGAATGCCATCCGCGAGATAGTATCTCGTGCGGAACGACGCGATTGCGGAGATTGCGCAACGTTCTTCCGTCGTTTCTGATTCGAAATCGTGCACGACGGCACGAGGGACGAGAATGAACGAAGCACAGAGCAAAGGGGTTTCGGATACTTGTCAATCATCGAGAGAGAGAGAGAGAGAGAGAGAGAGAGAGAGAGAGAGACGCTCGGGAGTTGCTTACGTATCATCTTGAAAGCGTTCAACTTCGATATATCGGGGAAGAAGATATTCTCCCTCATTATTAAACACACCACGCGGGAAAGAGGTTACTATTTAAAGTGTGTCTTGAAATAGTCTCTCGTTAAACGCATAAGATAAACAACAAGATCCAGAGAGAAAATATAGATTATATTAAATTACAGAGCTGCAAAATATTTAAAAAAAAAGATAAATGATAATAATTCAAGTTTCTATTATTCTCATTTAAATAATTAAAAATTCTAAAGAGAAAGAATAAATTTTATTATGAATGCAAAGTGATTTACATATAGTAAAAAATATTTGACGAAGCCGTCCAATTGCTTTTTCAAAAATTAAAAATAATATTACTCTAATTATAAACAACGTGTAACTTTTTTATGTAACTTTTCGTAAGAGACAAATATTGAGCTTTGTGTTATCAGGCACAACGTGACGATATTGCATGGTAAGGAATTAAAATAGTTATCGCTGCATTAGCACACTTGCCTGTGACGCAAGGATGTCCACGGTTGGATGACAACGTATATTAACCGGTTGCGCGTAGGTTTACCCTTGTCGTAAGATCGAGAAGACATATATTCACTGCATAATGCAATGGTTATCCAGCACACAAAGATATCCAGTTAAATATAAATATAATCTAGCATAAATATAAAAGTATAATTAAGAGATCTGATATAATTTAACAAGATTAATTCGCGAGTATCCTCACAATGCGTGTAACGACATTAATCTTTGTAAATCTAAATAAATAAAAGTGCATATAATAAAAATAATTATTAGAAACTATATTACATTTTGCAACGAATTTCAAATAGGATATTGCCGAACAACAATCGAATAATTATCCGCTGATAAATAGGATAATTATTGTGTAATAATTATCGTTATGTAATTAATATATTCTGCATATGTCATGTTTTATCAAAATAAATGAGAAATTTTTATATTATTTAAAATTAAAAAAGTATTTATATATAAAATTCTGATATAAAATAAAATTAAGATTCCCGTATTTATCTCTGAATCTAAAATATTAGATATTTAAGAAATATCTCAAATTAAATGTCTTAAATATTTCAAATATATAAAATAAAATTAAGATTTCCGTATTTATCTCTGAATCTAAAATATTAGATATTTAAGAAATATCTCAAATTAAATGTCTTAAATATTTCAAATACTACATAAATTTTTATCAAATTGTAACATCTCGATTTATAAATGACTATATAAATAATGAGTAATTATATAGATAAATATTTAATACTTAAATGAATGTTATCTGAATAAATATTTACTGCAATTGTCTATAATAAAGTTGAAGTATGTATGAATCAGCAAAAAATCCTAATAAAGGAGACCTTGTGGAGCAAATCGTGCGCAACAATTCGCGGGAGCGTAGCTCAGTGCGAACGAAAAGGAAATCTGTGGCGGGAGAAAGAGAAGTTTGACGACCAGCCTTCAACTTAGATACGCTCCGCGAAATCGTGCGTTCACGCTCCGACGGCCTCGTTCGCCATTACCGCTCTTTGGTGTACTTTTACGCTTTTTATCGCGAACGATCGAGCGCCGTTTTCAAGGAAAGGCCACTCGTCCACACGGTAGGATGTAATTATTCAATGAACCTGTCGTACGTATTGTTTAACTAAGTCAAAAAGCAATTCATTTTCAACGGGAAAGTATTCTCAATTCATTTTCGTCGGAAAGAGTGTTTTCGCAGCAGCGATCGAGAGATTCCCGAGGTCGCGAAGTTTTGTGCCGGGAAGCCTGACAATTTATAGAAATTGCTGGAGAAGTGCGATCGATATCGTTCTTCCGTCTGATCATCTCATTTTCAAAGGTCTCTGTAAATTGCAAGGTCTGAAAATACATTCTACATATTACGATATATAATGGGAAAAGTTTATGTAATATATGAATGCTAGTTACGAGATATCCTAAGTGATTTCTAATTAACAAGAATAAAATTTATTTAAAAAAATGCAGGATATATGAAGAAGAGATTGATAATAATTACATTCGATTTAAATTCAAATTTGATGTTTCTATGTTTTTTAAAGATTATATTGCATGGGCTGGTAAGATTTCTCCCAAGTTTCTCTCAGATTTCTCTCACGTATTTTATAAATTCCTATTTCATACATTGAGGATTAACCCTGCACTGGTCGCACCTTCTATGAATACTGCAATATTTTATTCATTTTTTTCTCAATATTACCAAGCATTTTTTATGCAAAAGACTTAAAATAAATATCTAAATTTACTTGATTTTTATCAAAATATTCATGTATTTTTATATTATTTTATTTTTTATAAAATAAAAAAATAGAATTTTTTGAAATTGGAAAACAAAAAAAAAGATATATATGTACCTGTGTATATAATGAAAAAATAAACTGTAATTAAAACAGAAGCGATGCAGGGTTTATGGAATTTTCGCACTAGAGAAAAATTTGGGAAATGCATTAAACATGTTGCTGAAGGTATCCTAGCATTCTCTCTCTCTCTCTCTCTCTCTCTCCGTCTCTCTTTCTAAAACCTAGAGCTTTTCTCTTTATTTTACCAATGACGTCCGATATTTCCTCGATTGTTCCACTTGGGAATCCTCGAACCCGCGATAAAGATCAAATCCGTGGGAAACAAATAGCGAGCCGTAAAAAATCCGCGACACGAAATCGCGAGCGGCCGCGGAAGTGAACGGTGAAAGTACATAAAGCATAAATTCCAGAATGTTGGCTGCGGTCGCGTGTTATACGTTTGCTGTACACAGTTAAGGGCCCGTGCATGTACGTACGTATAGAGATGCATAATTCATGCATCCGTGCGTCACGCGCCGCTATATTCGCCTCTCAAATTTTTTACTTTCTACGAAAGCGCACGTCAACATGCATTTGGTATATGATACGCAAAAATGGGGATTAAAGAGAAGAAATACTTTCTGTCGTATTAATTGAAACCTTTGAAATTTTTATTCATATAAAATGATGAGAACGAAAATGGAACGATGTAGAATCGGTTATGTAATGTGTCTTTTTATTCGTGACTTTTAATAGGATTTATATTGTACAGCACGCCGTGCGTTAATTAATTATCCGTTTCATGTCATAAGTGATGTTCATCGAGCGTAGATATATGAATATAAGCATATTTTAATTAAATCTGAATTTCGCGAAACTGTAAAACGTAGATTTATGAGTGCGCTATTTTATTTCTCATGCAATATTAACGGTGGATATAATTATTTATCTTGCGAATATAATACACTTGGAACTGACAATTAATTAGAGTAGATATCATTACAACCTATTCGTGCGAATAAAAATTGGAATGTATTTTAACTCGGCACCCGTTTTAATCCGTGTGAACGTAAATAATGCAACAATATAATTCATTGAGAGCATGTTGTTATCTTTCGAGAAAATTTTGAGAAGATTCGTTCATATGAGATTAACAATAAGCAGGTATTTCTTATGTAACATATACTAACTGCCACTGACAATATACGAAAATCGTAATACGAGTAGAATTACGTTTATTAAAGGAATCCAATTCAATCTATTCGTCATTCTCTTGAGTATTTCTCTGAGGATATTATATGCAGAGTATCTCGAATAACGAAGTAAAATCAAATTTCAATTTGAGAGATGCTTCAATAAATTTTATATCACACAATTTCTTCTTACAGAAAATACTTCCCGATATTAGCTATTTTTATAATTTTAAATTGAAATTAAAATTTACTTGATATTAATTGAAAATTGTTGATATTTTCTATTTTCTCTCTATAAAAAGTGTAGTTTGTTAGAAGCCCTTTATTTTTGGACCAAAATTATTGATATCTCGATATTTTCATGAAAAAATAATCGATACCAAGTATAGGATAGCGAAAAAAAGAATAGTGAGAACAGCATTCTCAATTATAGATTTTGAAATATTCCGTATGTAATAAACACGAAGCTGGGTAGGTTCTTCGAATGTGATTAACGAGAATCCTCTGTACTTGGCGTCTGGGTCGGGCTGCCATGCAACCCACGAGCAATATTCGCAAAGCCACACCTATCGGGACTTACGGGCCGCTTACATCGTTTAACACGCTGTAATACCACCACGCGCATTTACCTTATAATGGTGACGGCGCGCGCGACAGGAAATATAATACTCACCGCGTAACTGACGGTGCGGCTGTAGTAGGGCGGCGTGGTGGTCCTGAAGGTAGTGATGGGTGTAGGTGGGGTCGATACCCTGATGGACCGCTTGTCAACGGTGACTCTGGGCGACTCCACGCCGACCCAGTACGTGCTGTAATCCTGAGCGAAGGTGGAGCTGCAGAAGAAACAGAGGTCGACGATCAAGTGTGCGGTAAAACGAGATTCAACAAAAATAGCAGAAAACTGTTTTCAGGCAATTGTTTTATGGCACAAAACCAATATTGTGCCAATATCTTAATGATATTGTGACATATCAAAAAATATATACTGTACATATATCTCTTTCATTTATTTTTATATAAGAGCTACGCGTTTTTATTAATTTTTTAAAAACCATAAAATCACATAATTTTATGTTTATAAATTACGATTGTCTCGAAAGAGTTAAATTTCAATTTATATTTTCTTTTCAACGTCAGAGATTTTGAAAAGAATTCTCTTGTCTAAAGCTTATATTTACAGATTAAAAATTTTACGTGTAATAGATGTTTTTGTATCAATAATATTTGTATGATGTTATGACTTATTTATATATGTGAAACACTTTATGAGTTTTTATAACTTTTGGCAAAAATAAATTAATTACTTAATAGAATTGCACGCGATTTAAAGCAAATGGGGAGAAATTTATTTTTCTGAAACTAAGCATCTAACTTTCAAGGAATGGTGATTAAACGTCTACGTCTACTTTTCTACGCTCTCTTTTATTTGCAACATACTAGAATATAATAAATGCACTAAATGCTCAATACGATATAGGATACTCTGTAATATATCTTAATAAGAATTCATTATATCTTATTGTTAGTAAGAGACTCATTTTTTCTAATTTCCGATTGTCTTCCACGAAAATTAAAATGGATGGCCAGAAATAACGAGGCATAAAAACAAACGTAACAATTATAAAGCCAATCTCCGAGTTTGGAAATTAGAAATACATAACATAAAAAAATAAATTTTTAATCGGCTTTTCTAATCTCGTTTCTCTTACGTAGAAGTTGCTAACATTATACAATAAGATTATAAAACTCTTGACGTTTATTAATAGCGAGAATCCCTATTCATGCGGGGCTATTAGATCACATCGAAATTCGCTGCGAGCGATGACGTTAAACGTATTAAAAGTACTTCCACGTAGATCCTCTTTATCGCTTTTACGTTAATACTGGTCGTGGCGAAATATAAATATCAGAATACAAAAGCGACGAGGGGAATTCCCAAACGGTATCGTAAAAAAAGAAACAAAATAAAACTCCCGAAATAAGTTACGAAGTTTTAACAGAAGGGTCGCAGCTGCGCGTACCATTAAACATGCATTAGTAACTTCACATCGATTATTACGAGGAAAAGTTCGTAAGGAATGTTTCGCGCGTTTCTCGCACCGTTATGCCCGCACGAGCGCGTTGAATTTCAAGCACGAGCCGCATCCGCGCGTACGGTAATACCTAATTGTGATTCATAAGTGTGATACGCTGCCACCTCCGCGCGCGCGCGCGCGCGCGCGCGCGTGTGTGTGTGTGTGTGTGTGTGTGTGGTGCATGTGTATGCACGCAACGGTTGAGATCAGACACTGGAATCATGACTCAACAATTAAGCCGTTTCCAGACTCTAATGTTTCTTGTTCTAAATTTTATATAGGTATTTAAGAAACTTCTCGCAAGCTCGCGGAAACAGCAAACTCTTACAGTCTTGACGAGGCAGCCATATGTTCAAGTCTGACAAATAATCTGTTATATCTATAGTTATCAATTACACTCAAAGTAAAACTAAAAATTGAAAAAGATATCTTTGGTATTGTTCGCGATTTAAGATTGTAAATTTTATCTTATAAAATATATCATTATATTATTGCATGTATATTTTTAAATTTGCAAGATATATATATATATATATCCTGCAAATTTAGAAATAAAAAATTGAAATTTTTATACTTTAATTTATACTTGTAGGATATATATACATATATATATATATTAATTATATATGTTAATTATATAAACTGTAAATGAAACAATTATTGTTTTTACGGAACACAAGTTGGGCGACAGATATACAGTATACAAATTTTTAATGGATTCTAATTTTTCAAATATAGGATATTTAAATGAAACCATCAATGAATTAATTTTTTTTTATACGTATTATCAAGGTATATGGGAATCTTTTCCGCGACAGAAGTCATCCAAAATTCACTTTATTCCAAGAAATCCATTGTTAAGTCACATGATTATCATTAAAGTATCATTAGTATTACATAACGATATACTTACTTGAAGATAATGGTACCTTCGTAATCGACTGGAGCTTCCCAATCGAATTCAAGATTGTACTTGTCAGTCTTGTTTGTATGAGTCACGCCATTCTAGACACAAGAAACAGGAAAAGTTTTTTTTTCGATAAAAAACAGCACATCATTCACGTTTGCGAAACAGTCTCGATAAATGATTAAACCTTGAAAATTTCATTAAAGATAAAAATGTTTGTTGCATAAAAATAGAGCGCTCCGATGCATTATATTACCGGGAAGAATTAATAATAGAATTAATATCGTGAAATGTAGTTAAATATCCGGTGGAGCTATTAGAAAGAAAATAATTTAAAAATAAAAAATTTAATGCCACAATTTATTTTCTTCTTGAAAAGAACTTAAAAAAAGATTCGTTCAAAACTCGAAAAAATAAAGTATATATTATTAATTCTGAAATGCGAATCAAAATATTTTTGCATTTAACTTTTCGATGTTTATAAAGGCATTTGAATCTTTTACTTCGACATGATTTAAAATATAGCTGGATAGAACAGAATGGAGATTAAAATGATATGATGGGAAAAGTACCTTTACACCTTCGCTGCATTCCACGATTTTCGCGTACTCGGGCAAGTTTATGAAATCTCCCATGTATTCACCGGTGTCGATGTCCCTAGCGACGATCATGAAGCCCTGGTATGAGAGACCCTGGGGACTTCCCAGGATCAAACGGACTCTGCCTTGTCCTGCTGCGGGTAGTACTTGATACGGTGGATACGACGATTGCGGGGAGACGCCGGGATGACGTGGCGTCAGATCGAAGCATGTGCTTCGCGGTGCTCCACTGGGTAATCCCAGTACCTTTACGAGCAAACCGATGACCAAAAACAGCAACGTCTTGAACATTTCTGTAACGAAACAAGCCCCGTAAACCAGAGAGTAAGCATTAAAATACGTAGAATTTTTCGTATGCCCTTTAAATCTGAATCAGTGCCTATGTCACTGATTATCAATGGTTATCCATTGAATGCATCAGTCCCAAGTATTTCACTGATAATTAGTGAAATTATAGTTAATATTAATAGTTTTAATTATAGATTGTGAGTGAAATTATAGTTAGATTATAGATACTGACGCAATCAGTGATTTTTCAGTACTTTTCCATTGATTCAGATTTAGAGAGTGCATATATAATATTTTTGTCGATGAAAAATTGATATTTTAAATTGAAACTAAAAAATTCATTAAGAAGATAGCTATGGTTTGGAACTGCACTTTATATCGATATAATATTCATGCATAAAATACTCTTAATACTGTTGGATTTAATTATTTAAATTGCTCTCTCGGCATCAAATTCGCAATTAACTTTGATATTTAATTGTAACAATCGTGGAAAAGCGATATCACGGTTATTCCCTCACGAGAAAAAACAAGACAATCGGGAAATATCTAACGTGTGTAAATGCAACAGCACACTTGTTTAAACACGAATGCAGACAATACGCGTTGTGTTTAATGTCCTCCGTTCACGTCGATGTTGAATTTATCCGATATGACGTAAACAGAAATGTGCATCTGGCAGCAATTCGCTGTCGCTTATCCATAATGCACGTCTTATTCCCTTGCTTGCACGTAATCTCATGTGTAAATTTCAATTTCAACAACCGCATTTGCATTAGTAATTGCTGAACGATCATGCAGAAATTGTGATAATGACGCATCGTCCAGTTTCATCGATGTATGATCGCACAATTTTATGGCGACTAATCGAGTCGTGAACCGCAAGAATGTCCAAGCTACATAAGATATATATTCCTTAACGTTTCCTTCGATTATCCATTCACGTGCTGGCGCAGTGATTCCGATAATAAATCTAGATTTCAATAATTATTATCGATATAATCAGTTATAATTCTCTTAAAAGTTAAAGATATATTTAATTCTTTTTCCATTCTAGTAATCATACGAAAGATACGTTTATTTTATGTCTGAGGATAATTAAGGAATGAAAAAACTGTATATCTCGAGTACTTCTGACATAGCGCATTGTAATGAATGTCAAGAAATTTATCAGATAAATTAGAGAACTCGTTGTCGATAAACCGTTAATAATTTTTTAATGATACGTTGAGAATGCAAGTTAATTGTTAATTGCTCAATCATTTGAAGTATTAAAATGGATTTTTTTAATTGTACGAAAGATACGTTTATTTCATATCTAAGGATATTTAAAAAATGAAAAAAAAACCACGTTTTTTCGAATATTTGAATTCTGATGCGTAGCACATTGTAACGATATTAATTTATCAGATAAACTGGAGAACCTATTGGCGATAAACCGTTTGACAATTTTTTAATGATACGTTAAGAGTGCAAGTTAATTGTTAATTGCTCAATCATCTGAAATATTAGAATGGATCGAGATAACAAGGAGAGACGCTATTGAGACACTAATGAGCGACCAAGTGAGGCGCGAGGAGTGAATGACTCGAAGAAACGAGCGTGCTCGCTTGTGCACGGCCCACGCCTGAAAGAACTGACTTTCACCCTTTGGGAATTTAACTCCTTTACGTGTTTCTTAGCTCGCGCATTCCTAAACGCCCCGCCACTACTGAAATATTCCCCATGCCTGCCGTTATGTAACGCCGACTGACCCTCGCCATTGAAATGCCACGCAGTCACTGCAGCAGTGCCCACTGCAACGTTTCCTTATCGAAGTCGAGGCAACATTGCATTAAAATCACTGCAGGTTCGTGTTACATATTTGCAGTTAAAACTCGCCGTGTTATTACTGTGTTAAATTACACTTTCAGCGGGACATTTGAAAAGATACATAAGCTCGTTTGAAATAACGAGCTTTATGTATCGAAGATTATATAAAAAAACAAGAAACGAAAAAGAACTCTCTAAATTTTCTGAAGTGAAAATACTGCCACTCGGCCATTCGAGCGGCAGTATTTTCACTCATTTGGAATGAGATTCACTCCAAAAGAGTGAAAATTCACTCCAGAAAATTTAGAGAGAATGTATATTAAATATACAAGAATGCATATTAAATTTAGGACTGAAAAATTAAGTAGATATTTAAATTTTAATATAATCTAATTACAATTAAAAAGTCAATCAATTTAATGTATACTACTTTAAAAATCGTATTTGCATTAATAGCGAAATTTCATTATAATAGCGGAGAACGCGTGTTACTACCGCGTGAATGTTTTTGTACATATTTCTGCAAGATTGTATCTTACTATAGGAAGTTAAGTGGTACCTTAGTCAGTAATAAAACGCGCGTTCTTTGCGTGAGGCGTCCGTCAATTCCTATAATTGCAAAATGTGCACATTCGAGGCAAGGTCGATCACTTGCGATAACTGTTAAACGCACTGTTTTGCACTTTCACAGCAGGTAACAACACACACACACATACACACATACACTGCGAATTAACCGATCAGAATTAGACCGCCCGTAATATGTGTTGGTGTAAATTTATTGCAAGAAATTATGGATGATTGTCGGCATTGTGGTGGTCATAGCTTGGGTCATTCATGAAGGAATTTGGCGACGACTTTTCAACGACGATTTAAAACGCGATGCGTGATAACTGAGATGAAGAGTCAAGATGAAGATTTTTAACGAAGATTGGAGAATCGCAATTAATCAGCTAGCTACATAGTTACATAATAACGCAGTGGCTATTATAGTAGCAACAGAGATGACTATTTTAAAATATAATTTGCACAGCTTGTCTTCGCAACAAGCTTTCGTGCACGCATAAATCTTCTTTAATGTATATCTACATCGTATAAAGCTATATTTACATAATACATAGATATTATTCATAGCGAAAATAATATTCACTCTTTTACGTAGTTATTATTAATATATTATTATTTACACGAACGTATAAAAAATTAATATAAATTAATAAAAATTTATTCTTTCTATACCTTTATGCAACAATATTATTGATTCAAACAAACTTTTTAGTCTCGACGAATAAAAAATCGATCGCGAGTACAAGTATACAAGAATTGCAGATAAACTGGCTTCCTGTTACTTATTTCTCACTTCCATATTCACATCACCAATAAACGACACGTGGACGCAATAATCAATAATTGAGAAAGGCGTTTGCAAAGAGCACAATTATCTTAACAATGGAGCAATTGTGGGTGAGTTGAGGCGAAGTCCAAGATCAATATTGCGGATGAATTTATTTCTCTCAAACGGAGCCCGCAATTTGCAAATAGCCGCGACCGCGCCACTGCGAGACATGTACACCTAACACGTACACCGGGAATCAGAACGATTGGTTTTTTTAGTATAGTAAAAGCCGTGACCATCTGTGTATGATAAAAACTATATCTACATATGGGATAAAAAAATCTAGTTACCAAGTCGCGTTTTTATATGACAGATCGGAGAGGAATTAAAGATCGCGATAATCACGTGCGTGCCTAGCATTGTCATTATTCCATTGTACCGGGAGAGAACGAGCACAAGGCTTCGTTTTGCGGTTTACAACGCCGCGTATATGTGACTCATCCGCGGCGTTATACGCATACATATATACGTACAAGCACGCACAGCTCGTTGACACGTACACAGAACTTACATGCATACAGATTTAGCGCAGGTTGACTACATTTTCTTCCTGCCTGGTCTTTTGTGAGCGCACAGGAAGTTCCCAACGCGTGTGTATACACGTCCCCAAATGTCGATTTGAAAACAAAATTTATTGTGTGCAAAAAAAATCATCGCGTGGATTTCTTATGTTATTAATTATGTTGCTAGCTTCCTATTTGATATGACGTCAATATATTAATCTCACAAGACACTGAAATTCAATCTTAACGTTTAGAAAATTCATTAAAGTTCTTTTATTTGTAAAAATTAATTTTTTTATCTTATTCTGAAAAAAATTCAAATTAAAACAAATAATTATTTATTGGTTTATTTATTGTTTAAACATAAATACTGTTTGTAATAAATATTTGCGAGTTCTTGTATTTGAAGTAAAAAGTCACAGTTCATTTATCAATAAAGTAGGAGTCAGCTATAATGACTGCGCGTTTAAACGAAGTATTGATATTACGAAATGACATTACAAAATTCTGTAATTTCGATAAAAGTTATCAATCTTCCTTAGTCGTTAAAATTTTTCTTGCCTTTAGCATCGTCACATTTACGCTTGCAATGGAAAAGTTAGTAGTCGATACGTGACAATGTATTCAGAATACAATCTTCTCAGTAACGTATCTCTCTTTTATTATGTAACATGATCTTTTCGCACGGTGCACTTTCGCGTAGTAGTGCGCTCAGTTTGCTCAGCAAGTTATTACTAATCTGTCAGTTCGACATCGAGGATTATAATTAAGTTGTTTAGAGCAGGAAACCGACTAGCGTGCAAATATATAATATTATATAACAAGTGTAGTAATTTGATATAGGACAGGTATTAAAAATTACTTGATGAATTAAATGAAACAATTACTGATTATTGATGTGAATGTGTAATAAAGGAGTGTCTCTCCAGACACACCCTGCAGGTATTCAAATGCCTCCTAATTGAATTATGTTTTTAATTTTGTAATACGAGAAGCTTTTGAAAAATTTGTTGTATTACGAAGTAAATTAAATTAACGTAAAATAGAATGTTTTAGAAATAATAATTTGCAGTCCGGCATACTGACGCGAGAGTAATGCTCGATGTCAAAAAATTCTAGGATGACACAACATACATATGTATTGAAGATAATTTCTCACGTATGCTTAGCTTTCTTTATATATTATTTATTTATCTATTTTATTTTATTTCTTATTTTCAAATTTAACTATTCTTTTTTATTTATTTTTAGAAAGATTATTAAAATCTTTGATGCGTGTTTCGCTCATATTTGCAAGCCGTAATAAAACGTGGCAGTCCTAATGCAGTGTCTTCTTTTAAGTTGGATGTGTATCGCGCCGTCGTGCAACTAAGGTATTCATGACATGTACTTCTTCGAATGAGATACATTTAATTGTATTCGTGCAACTTGCGAGTTTCCACTGCTCCGAATGTCATCAGGCAAACAAAGTATCATGCCACCGTCTTTCGTGTTTGGTAAACGCATCGCCATGGTTACGTCGTCCCGTGTTGTCCTAGAATTTCCACGTCGAGCATTACTCTCGTGTCAGTAACGCCGAACCGCAAATTATTTTATCGATCACGTAAGTGGGACCGCCGGAGCAAGAATTCGGAGAAACGTCATTCATCGCCGCTGCAATTATTCCTAACGGCCTCCTCTTTTAATGAGCATTCTCCTCAGCTCATCGATCTTACTCCGAATGTTCCGCTTTGTCTTATACGTACAGGTCTAGTCGACGACCTAGAGAGCAACCAGCATCTAAAGATGGATATGGACGTGACATACATTACTCTCGGTGTCCGATTCTTTTCACCGTATCTCACGATATCTCTACAATCGCTTATTTTTTTCCAAACAAATTTATGTATAAATCTACATTGCAGCCTCCAAAAAGATATTTTTGGAAAAAGATGTTTATAGCCAGAAAGGTCCACTTATAGTATAAACAGTTTAATTTTAATTAACTGTGTGTTTGAAACAAAACGCAACATAAAACAAAGTTTCACGTACGTAATTCATTTTCTTCCACCAGAAAGTTATAAATACATAAGAAAATTAGAGAATAATGCAGGGGTTGTCGTGGAATAACGTTTTCTTGCATGTCTACACAACGGTCTAAAGTTACTTGGAATTATAATTAAGACAAACTGAAATAAAAACCTATTACTGATGTCACTTCGTGTTTTTAAGAAATTCAGTTAATTAACAAAGATGAATTATTCTACAAGAATACGGGGTAAAACCCAGAGGTGAATCATTGCATGAGTTATCCGAGCTAGGTTGCACTAGAATAAGAAATAGTGTAATATCCCGTACAATGAAATATCTTCAAAAAGAATGGGACGATTTCTCCAAAGTCGATTAACTTTAACCGTAATTCAATCGTCTCTGTACCTCTTTCGGGATTCTGTCTCCGTAGAAAAAGACACAGGGAGACCATTGCCCCATGATTAAAGTTAATCGACGTCGGAGAAATCAACCTTAAAAGCGATCGAAAGGATCTAGGATCTATAACGGATCCACTCGATCTTCTGCTTTATCGTTGCGAAGGATCGCGCTCCCACCGTCCACCATTCACAATGACTTGGATTAAAGAAAAGCTGACGAGTAAATTCTTCCAGATTCATTTTACGTAAAAAAAAAAAAAATAACAGATTTATATATTTCAATGTCGTTTTCAATGGACTGTATAAAATTCATGTCAAATCTATCACATGTTTTCTCAAAACGGAATATCAATGAATGACATTTTAATATTTTTATTAATTAATTTATATGTATTTTTATTTAAAAAATTGTTAGGAATAATATACATATTTCAGCTAATAACTTATTTATTTTTTTCAAGAAAATGACTCTTTCAAATCGAATTTATCTAAAATTAAAAAATTGAAAACTGATCATATTAAAGTACAAGTTTTATAACTGACAACACAGAGAAGCAATACAACAATTCTTTAAATCGTTTATAATCAGAAAATTAATCTCTACATAGCGGGAAAGAGATTTGAATCATCACATTTATTCTTGGAATTCTAAAACAGGCAGGAAGCAACTGAATTTTTTATGAGTTCTTCAGTTCACAAGCTCCTACAAAATCGTAATGCTATTTCAAAAATGTTTAAATAAATTCGTGTTTATTTTTATACACAAATCATCTTTCTAATTTTACGTTACATCTTAAGCAGTTCAGGCGAAAGATTATTGCGTAAAATATTTTCGCTTAAAAATACAGTTACAATCGTTTTCACTAATTAGTGCAGTCGATTATATTAATATGTATTTAAAGGCTATGGATAATAATTGAGAAAATGTTGTCTTAGTTCGACACTAGTAGACAATAGTTGACTATTATTAGTTGGCACTAAACAGTTTTATTATAATTTAAAGAGATTTTTATATTTAAATAAGAATATAAAAATTTATAAAAGACTGATATATATTTTAAATCTACTATATTTAACATTTCAATCATCAAGATATGACTTTTTTATCGTCTAGACATCAGTTTGGTGAAATTATTTTTTTCACTTCTTTATTTACTACATATTAAAAAGCAGGGAAAAATTTTTATTGTAAGATTTCCTTAAAAAATATAACTAGTAAATCTAAAATTGATGCAAATTTTTCAGTAGAAAAATTATTCGTTAAATCTTATAGTAATATGTCACTTTATAGATCGATATTTAATTTTGAAGAATAAAGAGTAACGAAAAAATAAAGTAGGAAAACTGATAACTTCAAAGCTCACTAAAATGAAAACGACGTGTGACGCAATTGTTTATCAATTTGGAAAAATGCACTAAAAAGTCGTTGCCATAACACACCAGTATGCTTTTAGAAAAGGTAGTATCCCGAGAGCATAACTTATTAAACAGCCGGGTCACATACCTGCTTTTTTCTTCGATTCCGCACGGTCAGTTACCCAGGAAGAACCAAATTCTTCGCGCTTGTATATCTATTCACTCGCAGCAGGTTTTTAAAAATTAAGTATGGCAGTTCCATATATTCTAACGTTACGTTTTATAATTAAAAGTATTATTTTCTCTTGCAAAAATCTGATAATTTTAATAATTTTCCTTTTTACGGAAATTATGCTCATGCTATCAAAACCTGATGTTTCTGTGCCTACTGTGGTGCAAACTCGCGTGTCTGCGATACTGTGCCGCGTAAACACTCACCGGTCCTCATCTCCATCGCGTATGCAGATCCTTCACCGGACGACGTTCACCACGATTGTAACGTGCGCGCCAAACAAATTCGTAGGAGGGTCACGTGTGCCGGTGCCGGCGGTCCGATAACACGCGCGCACTAATTCTCGGTCCACGTCGAGACGGCGGCGGTGGCGTCCATCGATCGCGTCCCGCTTGATCCTACAGTCCTGCGACGCTACCGCGGACGCGTCCTTCCGGTCGCACGGAATTCCGATCGTCCTGCACTCTCTTCGCGATCGGGCGAGAGGAGCTGCGAAAGGAAACAGCGCGCACCTGGTCGCTGTTTTGAACTGCGCGACGAGAGGAATTTGGACGAGGACTAGCGACGCGCTGGCTCGATCGTTCGCCGGACTTGGATCTCGCGCGGCACTTGTTGATCCCGTGGCGGCATACTTCCGTCGACAGCGTCGAGAACCACACCTTGCGAGAGACTGTACGAGAAATACGGGCCGAGTTGAAAGGCCCTCGGCCGTGAGACCAGCTCAGGTCCGTAGTCACTCGCTGGTAGCGCACAACACATCGACGCGGTCCACGCCACTCGACGAGCACATAAGCACTATAACATAAGTATAATATAAACCGATCGAGAGACGCGCTGGCGTCTTCCACGGAGAACATTTAGCGGTGACCTCGCGAGAGAGATACTCGCGGCGACAGATAAATTACTTGTAGAAAGAAGGCTTCTTTGCAAATAATTTATTACATTTTGTAAAGAGGATTATTTTTTTTTTAATTGGAAATGTTCCAGAATTTTCTACTCTTTCTTTTCCTCTTTGATAAATATTTGTATCTATCAAAGAGATGGATATCTTTTGAATACTAAATAATCAATAAGTTTTGAGATTCCTGTTTGCTACATTCTTTGTGCCAACTTTGTTCTTTTCCCTCTTCGATGCCTGAAAATATTTATTATTTATTTCTATATTTATTTCTGTATTTGGAATAAAATAAATATTTTCAGGCATATATATATATATATATATATATATATAATATTTTATGTGCATATAAAAATTATTCTAATTACTTTTATCCTATACATATATAAAATTGATTTAAAAAAAATTTTTTATATACAATTTCATTTGCGTTGCGTTTCTTTTTAATAACAGATTTTTCGTAGATTTATGTCTCAATTTATATAAAAATCATCGAGAGTTTTTTCTCTCTCCGACACACGTTATTTATTTCAACTACGTCTTGTTTTAAATACCTGCTTTAAGCCGGCACTGAGTCGTGTCAAGAGAGAGAGGGACTAACGACTATGCCACCAAAACGGTACGACGCGGCGTACCGTACGTTCACCATTCGTCGTTCATCTCAGTTTTATCAACGTATTTTTTGTCTCTCTTTCTCTCTCTCTCTCTTCTTCTTTCTCTCTCTCAACGTCAATGTCTCGTTGTCGACCACAAATGTAGAGAAAAAAAAAAAAAGAAAAAAACATAAACGGTATCGGCACATCGATTTCCTATACATATTACCAGAATGTTCAGACGTATAAATCGGCTTTTCTCTTAAGCTTCTTCAACGTTTTATTTACAAAATTAAATAATTTATAATTTTTTGATGCTCTCTTCTTTATCGTATTACAATTTATGCGCGTTATAATCATCTCGGATAAGCATAATTTGCATACTCTGCGTTAGTGCGTGCTTTACGTCTTTACGGTGAATGACTTATATTAACGTCACGAAAGCATTACGTGCATAATATTTAATTCGTAATTTTCTTTATCAACGTAACACGAGATAAAACTGCGCTTTATACAGGGTGTTCCCGAAATTCGCGAATCAAAATATCATAGCAAAAAAGTCTTCGAAAAATTAAATAAATAAGTTACTTATAAATTTTTATTTTAAGCAGTAGTTTTTGAGATAAAAGAGTTTAAATTTAGACAATCATAAATTACGGTTAAACGGAAATATATTCGTGAGCGCATCGATAGTGTTAGTAGTCGCGCACTTCACGCGTGTACTAATCCATAATTGGCTACATTTAAACTCTTATATCTCAAAAACTACCGCTTAAAATAAAAATTTACAAATAACTTTCTTAATTTTTCGAAGACTTTCTCGCTATGATATTTTGATTCGCCAATTTCGGGAACACCCTGTATATATATATATAACAGTCGAGCCTTTCTCAACGCGATCGCATATTAATTCACGACCGGAAGATTTAAGCGCGCGCGAAAAAGATCGCGGCTTAAAATGAGACTCTTTAGCGTGATTGGGATGCCACGGAGAGAAATTGCTAATGCGCTTAACGAGACGATTAGAGAATATCCTATGCATTTTGTGCGCGGGTATGCGCGGTTTACTTTTACCGAACGATGTAAATTGATAAAACCGGTTCCCCTCCCCCTTCCCCCCTCGGCTAGTGTTGCACTTCAAGATATACCGCTTACTCGCATTCCACGGTTAGTGATTACTTTATCAACCCTTCGTCATACTAAATTAACAAGCGTCAGTTTTAACTTTTTAATTTTACGTTTCAATTACTATATCAGCTCCCGTAAAAGATTACGTTCAAAGCAAAAGTCTTTTAAAATGCATAAATCGTTTTCTCTGGCATTGTCCATTTTAACAATAATCTACATCTCGTATCGTTTGTCATAAATCCCTACTATACTTATCGATTTTGTGCTAATTTTATGCAGTGTTATTTGCTCATTGTTGCTCTATACATATATTAAACGAAATCATCTTATTTCTTCATTTTATATTTTCGAAATTATCTTAAATCTACATTTTTGTAAAGTTTTGTAATTAGAAGCGTTTACATAATTCAAAAAGATATAATTTTTATTTTCGACGGGTTTCGATTATGTGATAAATTCTTTATGCAAAACAATTATTATTATTCAATAAATTATTCAATGGTAAAATTATTATTTTATTCTCTTGTTACCCATAATTTCTTTATCTTTCCGCAATGAGATTACCGTTTGCTCCTACAGCTCGCAGTTCTTACGATATTGTATAGAGGTCGACTATATACACAACTCTTTAACTTCCCAGCGTTTTATATGTTTTTCTGTTTATTTATTATCTGTTGGAATTTACCAAAAAATTATGTAAATATGTTATTTATTTTATTATCATATACTTTCATTATTTGCAATAACAATCTTTTTTATATTAAATGCTTAACATTTAATTCCTCAAGGAGGGAAAATTAAAAGATTTTTAATCTTCAATTTTTACAAATTTTAACGATTTCTTTTGTCATCACAAAACTTGAGAGAATGCAAAAAATTACTTTACATATAAAGTTTTTTTTTATTATTGCATTGGATTGTGCGTTAGAATTTTCTGCTTATAAATTTTAAACATATGTCTATTTTTTTATTATGTACTTACTTTAAGTACAGAGACTATACGTTAATTCAGTTATATAAAACAGACATAAACATGCTACATAGTTTGTAAGTATGACTTACAATTAGCGGAATATCCAGAGATGACTAATCACCAAAGACGTAATAAGGCGGTGGGTTCCAAGGAACGTATCCCATGCGTAACTTTGCCAAAGGACATTGCTAAAGCAAGGATAAAATTTATTTATAAATGTAATATAATTATGTATTTTTTCCATAAATTTAAATTGTGAAATATTATTTGTAATTAATGCCAAAATTAGGTATTCATTTTGAATGCCGAACGTTTCGATCACGGCACTGTGTATTGAACTGAGCTTAATCAGTACAAGCTGATACAAACCTGTTTTCCTGTTCTTCAGTCACCAGTTGACCACTACGGCAACAACATGCACAAAATATTCAAGAAACTTGGTAGGAAATCGAAAGTAAGAATTAAGATAACATTTTCTAGAGTTATTTTGATAATTGTGTACACGTGCGCGGATACATGTACGTATATCCATATTTTTATCGTTGCACAATAAAAATATGGATATGTGCAATGCATATGTATATGTGTATACAGTATACCGAGTCAAAAGTATTGTATCATACAGAAAAATATAGAAAACGCAAGTAAATTATTCAGTTTTTTGTTTTTTCCTAAAAAAAAAATTTGATTTATGTATGTACGTCTGTTTTCATTAAGACTTCGTTGGTTGTAATGCAATACTTTTGGTTGGTATTGAAATGACTGATAAATTATCGCTTGTTCGAGAATTTGATCTGATTATTACAGAGGCTAAGAAGAATCGTATAAATATCTATTAAGCGCTTTGGATTTTAAATTCAAAATATACTGCATTTTACATTATGCTTTATGTCGCTTTATCATTCAAGTTTGTAATACTTATTATTGAAATTTATCATACATAAAATCAGAAAAAATTATATTGGAAATATAATTTTATTTTATACAATTATATTTAATCGGGAAATATCTTTAATATCGCTTTTACTGTAATAATGTATTTAAACTTGAAAAAGAATTTTATTTTGATCTTTTGCCACGTATATCCAATTTGAATACACATCTATATAAGTTCAAGTCGTTGTATTACTAACATCACGTTTTTTACTTACTACTATCTTTATATAAATCAAGGCACTAGAAATTGAGATAATAAATGCACTTTGTGCATTGATTTTATATGATATATTATAAATTTTGGAGAGGTCTATCACTTTGCTAAAGTTTATTTTATTTTTAAAACATATTATTGGAAAACGTATTTTAAATATAAAAAATTTATTTAAAATCATTCTATCATTATTATATATATGTAAAATAATAATGCAGAGCTAAGGAATCGATTATAAAAATCCATGTGGAACTTGAGTGAGAGTGGGTGCGAGTGTGCGATCAGGCGTATTATAGAAGCGATTTAGAAAAAATAAGATAAGTAAGCAGGTTAAGTAAGTAAGGTGTAGAGAAATAAGAGTAAGCGGAAGTAGAGCAAGTGGATGGAAAGATAGGTATTGAGGAAATAGGTTTCAAGGCAATTTAGATTTAGAAAGGCGAGTTATGGCGACAAAAGAGACGGGTGATTCAGGAGGTAGAAAGGTCAAAAGAATAAAGCAGATGATGCTAAAATGATGCCCGCACTCCTGATGGCGTCGCTGTTTCATCGACGACTTGTATAGGTGCGATATTGATGTAGTAGTGCGTAGATGTTTAAAAGATAATTATAAGAAGCAAATGAAGGAATTGAGTAGAAAAGGGAGGATGGCGGCAAGAAAGGTACATAGTATAGGAGAATGATTATGTAAAAATCATTTTAGGAGGAGAAAATTCTATTCTATTCTACAATAATCTATGTAGTGAAGACGCAATGTTAAAGACGCAGAAGATTACAGCTTGCAGAATTGTTAGATAATTGCAGCTATTTAATATTCAATCAGTATGTTGCATTAGATTGATAGTCAATTGCATTTTCTCCGCTATGCTTCTCTTGTGTGTTGAATTCGCAAATCAAATATGCAAGAAAAATAGCGAGAAAAATAGCAGAAATCAAACAGCCGAGTGATCTGCCGACGATCTAAAGAAGCCTCTAAGTATACTAATAGGGGAATCGAGTTCAATAATACCTCGACAACGAGCAGCTTACTCCTTTTTCAGTCTCTTCCGTTTTTTCACGAAAAAATGCACGGAATAAAACTCGCGGATCTGCAATACGCGTGCACCACACTACGGGCGCGTATGTGCGTATAAAGAGCTGAGGACATAGCATAATACACAAAGATTTTTCGTAATAACTCTTTAAGGAAGCGCATGTTGTGAAATGTTTATTTGTTGTATACTTCTTTCACTGGTTGGAGCTTTTATTAACACCGAGTTAGTATTTTTTTCATGAAATTCGTTAATTAAATCGAGTTCAGCTGTGTGTTTTTGCTTTTTGTGGAATTAGTTCGCATATTTTTGCGTTCTTTTATAGAATAATCGAGCTGCCAAAGAGGCGCGTCAGCAAATGCTAGCGAAAAATCCGCCGGAGATCTCATGGGAGAATACGCTGGGCTCGCCCAACGGCGTGCCCTTCGACAACGACACGAAAGAGCTGTATACTGAATTAATCTTAATAGACACAAGCTGATACAAACCTGTTTTTCTGTTCTTCTGTTCAGTCATCAGTTGGCCACTACGGCAACAACATGCACAAAGTATTCAAGAAACTTGGTAGTAAACTGGAAGTAAGAATTAAGATAACATTTTCTAGAGTTATTTTGATAATTATGTACATGTGCGCGGATGCATGTACGCGTGTGCATACATATATCCATATCTTTATCGCTGGAATGTATATGTATATACAGTATACCGAGTCAAAAGTATTGTATCGCATAGAAAAATATAGGAAACGCAAGTAAATCATTCAGTTTTTTATTTTTTTCTAAAAAGAAATTTGATTTATGTACATCTGTTTTCATTAACACTTCACTGCTTTTATGTGTAATGCAATACTTTTAATTGGTATTGAAATGTACTGATAAATGATTGCATGTTTGGGAATTTGTTCTGATTATTACAGAGCCTAAGGAGAATCGTATAAGTATCTACTAAACGGTTTGGATTTTAAATTCAAATATACTGCATTTTACATCATGCTTTATGTCCCTTTATCATTCGAGTTTGTTATACTTATTATTGAAATATACCATACTTAAAATCTTATATTGAAAGCTTTTACATTTTATCGAAAAACATTTTTAATATTTTTTACTGTAATAATAAGTATTCAAACTTGAAAAAGAATTTTATTTTGATATTTTGATTAGCACGCATATCCAATTTAGATACACATCTATGTAAGTTTAAGTCGCTGTATTACTAACATCACTTTTCTTATTTGTTACTATATCTGTATATAAATCAAGGCACTAAAAATTGAGATAGTAAATGCACTTTATGCATTGATTTTATATGATATATTGTAAATTCTGGAGAGGTCTATTACTTTGCCAAAGAATTTATTTTCAAAAATGTTATTAGAAAACGTATTTTAAATATAAAAAATTTATTTAAAATCACTATATTATTCTATAACTACATCACTATATCATTATTATATATATAAAATAATAGTGCGGAGAGGCTAAGGGATTATAAAAATCCATGTGGAAGTTGAATGAGAGTGGGTGCGAGTATGTGATCAGGCGTATTATAGACGCGATTTAGAAAAAATAGCACAAGTAGTAAGGTATAGAGAAATAAGAGTAAACGGAAGTAAGATAAGTGGATGGAAAGATAGGTATTGGGGAAATAGGTTTTAAGACGATTTAGACTTAGAAAGGCGAGTTATGACGACAAGAGAAACGGGTAATTCAGGAAGTGTAGGAAGGTCGAAAGGATAAAGCAGGTGATGCTAAAATGACGGCCGAACACCTGATGGCGTCGCTGTTTCACTGACGATTTATATGGATACGATATTGATATAGTAGTGCGTAGATGTTTAAAAGACAATTATAAGAAGCAAATGAAGGAATTGAATAGAAAAGAGAGAATGGCGACAAGAAAGGTATTTAGGAGAATGATTATGTAAAAATGATTTTAGGAGAAGAAAATTCTATTCTATTCTACAAAAATCCATGTGGAGAAGACGCAGTGTTAAGACGCAGAAGGTTTATTCAGTTTGCAGAATTGTAAGATAATTGCAGTAATTTTTAAGAGAATATTCAATCAGTACATTGCATTAGATCGGTAGTCAATTGCATTTTGTCCACTATGCTTCTCTTGTGTTGAATTCGCAAATCGAATATGCTACAAAAATAGCAGAAATCAAACAGTCGAGTGATCTGCCGACGATCTAAAGAAGCCTCTAAGTTGTTTAAGTAGTCTAACAATAAGTATACTAATAGGAGAATCGAGTTCAATAATACTTCGGCAACGAGTAGTCCTTTTCGATCTCTTCCGTTTTTTCACGAAAGAATGCGCGGAATAAAACTTGTAGAACTGCAACGCGCGTGCACCACACTACAGGCGCGTCTAAAGAGCGGCCGACATAGCATAATACACAAAGATTTTTCGCAGTAACTCTTCAAGGAAGAGCATGTTGTGAAATGTTTGTGTGTTATGTATTTTCTTTTACTGGGAATTGGAGCTGTTATTAACCGAGTTAGTTTTTTTCATGAAATTCGTGAATTAGATCGAAAGTTCAGCGGAGTTCTTTTGCTTTTTGCGAAATCAGTTCGCATATTTTCGCGTTCTTTCGTAGAATAATCGAGCTGCGGAAGAGGCACGTCAGCAGACGCTAGTGAAAGATCCGCCGGAGATCTCATGGGAGAATACGCTGGGTTCACCCAACGGTGTGCCCTTCGACGACGACACGAAAGAGCTGCTGAAGAAATGCCTCGACGTCTCCGTGCCGCCACCGACCAACGTGGCAGAGCTAATCAAACGGAGCAATGCGTTCCCCACAATGTTTCCAATTAACACCGTAAGATGCGCCGCTTTGAAGGACAGGGGAATCAGCACGGATTCTATCGAGGTTTGCGTAAACTTAGCAAATTATTTGATCGAGCGATTAATCAGTCAAAAGGAGCACACGCTTATTAATTAAATAATATTTCTATTTTAAATAATAATTTTTTTAAATATTTAATATTTTTTTATCGTGATTTGAAAATTTAATTGACAAAATTTGTCCATTTTCTGTACAGTTTAAAAATTAACAGTTTCTGCACTCAAATCCGAGATACCTTTATCATTTCTTTTTATGGCGTTCAATAATTTCGACTAACTTAACACAGACAGATAATCTTTGATGATATTTTTTAGTTCAATGCAAATTCGGTATATCCGTTGATACATGAAGCGATGTTGCCCTTGATTGCGCGATGGTTGAAACACAAGCGGTTGTACGGTAGCTCAGTTGAGAAAGTCATGTACGCGGACATGGGTCTCGTCCAATTCATCCATCGCCTGCTGGATAAGAGGGTGGCTTCCTTCGGCGGTCCTAATGATCGCTGGAAATTACTCGATAACAAGAGCGGCTTCGATGGATGGGAGAGCGTCGGTACCGATCACGAGAAGGAACCATTGGTAAGTACGTGACACCGTCTTACTCAAACAATACTTCATGAAAAGCAATTATAATAATTAGATTATCTGTGTGAAATATATAATTATATATATTATATAAGATAATAATAAAACTTAAGAGATAATGCATACAAGAATTTTACTGTTAATTGATTTTCAAATTTTAAATCTCTTGTAACAATGACATAAGTAATACCGAAACATTGGCTGAATAAAAGTTAAGAATAAATAAAATCAAAAATATGATTACTCTCTTTATACCATTACAGAAGTAGATAGACGTTAGCTTAAAGAACGAATCTTGAAATACTTTTTATCACCCCAAAAGAAATGTTCTACTTATAAACGGGAAATTCCTTTAACCATTTCCTCTAAGAAAAAGTTTTACATGAAGCATATTCCTCAGCTATAACGCGTATTTATCTATAAAGAAGTGGACCATGCGTTATAATCAAAAATAAATTCTCATAGTAATTCGACATTCTTCTACATTTTAGAATATATACTCATAGTAATTCGATATTGCTCTACAATTTAGAATATTTTTTCGAAATATTTATTTAATATTAAGAGAAAAATCTTTTAGCATCAAGAGATCACTGCTAAAGGATATAATATTTTTTTGGGGTGATCATTTTCTTGTAAATATTGTAAATAATATTAGCATAAAAATTCTCATCTCTACCCTTATTCTTTTTTCTTTTACTGCGTTTTATAATACAGGCCATTATATTGCCTACGGATTAATGTAACGTTATACATACGCTTACCGATATTGGAAGTTTATTGGATATTGAAAACAAGATAATGTTTTATAATATCATTTTCTCTCGTATATTATTTTCTCCGCGCGACCTCGCGACGCCTTAATAAACATCTTTAAAATCTGATGAATAGGTCCTATCGAAATGCTTGAGCTACGATGAGATAAAACTGTCCGCAATGATGGTGGTGTCATCTCACACGCAGTTCATAAACGACGGCTCGCGAAATAATTCAGGTATCGTGAGCCGTGACCCAGACGCAGTCCAACCCAATGGGATTATTATGGGTGTTGCAGGCACAAGGTTCTATGCAAATTATTTAACCCTTCTTTTCGGAGGAATATTTTTATACGTGCAAACTCTCCATGTGACGTGTTGCCGTCGGCGTCTGCAGATGCGTGTTATATTTTTATCTCTTTTGCGTGCGCAGTTATTTACTGGAAACGTAAAAATTTTCGCTTAAAAAATTCCGTTAAAAATAAAAACAATATAGTCGCCTTTAATAAAATATAATTAATAATTCTTTTATTTTTATTTAAAAACAAATAGAAAATTTCGCTCCCTTTTGTAGACAATAAATTCCGTCGCGAATTTACCGCCATATTATCATTAAATTTGGACCATTTGTGTCATTTGATTTGTCATGTAGATTCGAAAAGTCCCGAGTTATGGAGTATCAGGACATCATCGTCACGCCACAGCAGAACAATATAGATAACGGGTAAGTGATAACTTTCCGCAATAATTGTCAATATCAAAAATATCAAATTGTCCGCATAAATGTAAATTTATTGAGCGGTACATATACGAAAATAAATTCAATCGTATCGCACTGGATAACATCGATAATTTAATGGTGCAGTTAATTTTTTAAATTCTTTTTATTAATAATGGAGATATTAATAAAGGTCTCTCTACTAACAAAAATATTAATAAGATGCACGCATCACTTCTGCGAAAAATTAGTTGCATGTCATTTGAACTTTAAGTCCGGCGAAATAATAATGAAGTATGGTAATAACGGAATTAAGTTACGTTATAATGTGCTCTAGTTCTTTTTGCAGTACATGAATACAATTTTTTTTTAAAGACTAAAAAATCTGTGCGAAATAGATACGGATCAGCGATGGATGGCACATCCGAGGGAAAACGCGAGATGCGTGTTTTATGGGCCAAGTTTTATGGCGAGGATTATCACCCGCTCTACGAAGAAACCGTGAAGCGCATGAAGTCGAAAGAGAATAGGCGATATGTATCGTTGGGCAAGTTACTCGTTGGTCAGATAATCTTCGATATCGAGAACTACATGAAGAGAACCTTGCTCTCCGTAGAAATAATACTGCTCGAAGCGAACAGCCGCGCCGAGAAGCAAAACACGACGGCTTTCTTACACGTGATTGGCTTTGGCCTCGGTTAGTGCGAAATTCTTATTGTTAAGTTTAAGCACTTAAATATTATAACTAATTATTATGAAATTATTTCTTATATTTTACTGTTTAATTATTTACTAATTAAATAATACGATCGGCAGGTGTTCGGAGAATATTTGAGGATCAGGAAGTCTACTTCTTGAAAGCGTTCGAGATCGCCCTCTGGAAAATCAAAAAGAAGCTCAAGTACGTCTCTGACATCATGTTCGCTAATTTTCAGCAACAAAAATGCGGCAATGCGGGAAACGGCGATCATCTGGGCGGTTCGTACACATCATAATAAATGGCTAAATATGAACATCTTTATACTTTTACACAATGGTATATTATTTTTAGGTATAAAGATACATTTTGCTCTGAGAGAACCACACAGCAGACTGTTCCAAGCCAAAGACGCGAGTAAACTCCTCGTTGTAACTTACGCTTGGGATGGAAATGCATTGCCAGGTTTAAATATTATTTATTTGTCTAAGTTTTCATTTATTTAGTACTGATATGAATTTTAATATTTTATTTAATCCATCATTTTTTATGAGAAAGTAAGTATCTTTGTTAAGATCTTCAAGACAATGATGTTCCTCTCTGCAGGGAATGAATTCTGGGTAGGGAGTCTAACAAAAAGCAGCGCTCCAGCTGCCGCGTGCAGCACCCAAATAACCGAGCTGCATAATTCCAAGATCAATCCACGCGCGTACGGCGCCAGCTTGCACGTCGCATCCGCGGAGCATGGAATTCTGCACATATCGGATTACGCGAAACTCCATCTTACTTAGGTAACCCTCGATAAACGCCTCCTTATCGACGCTGGTCTTCCTTGCTGAAACCGAAGTTTGATTTTGCGATCCACTGAAACTATAAACGGTGTTGTCTTTATACTGTCAACACACACCTTTATTCATTTGAGAAAAAATCTCGCTTTTTTTCTTACCTTTGTATTTTATTAGAAGAAATACATAATAATCGATAATATATTGCAAGTACTTACCAGGAAATATTCGATTATCGAAAAAATTGAATTTATTAAATGATTTATCCTTTCTTTCCTCCACTCGCTTATTCTCCTCTATATAATAAAAGTTAATAATTTAATTTAATTTTTTTACTGTAATGAAGATCTTAATAATGACATTGCTCTTATCTATAACTTTCAATCTATTTTTAACATATAAACATATAGAATAGAATTAACCGTATAGAAAACTTGATTTTCGAAATATAATGTTATTATTAAAACATTGCCTTTATAGATACATAAAAAAATCAAATAATAGACCCATACAATTAGAATTATAATAAAAATATACAAGACATGAAGGCATTTAAATTTAAAAAGATATATTTTGTGAAACTGAAAAAAGTGAAAAAAATTTTTTTTATTCTTTGCTATGCGTGAGACATTAAGTTCCCCATCACTTTTAAAACCGTTATGAAAAATGTTAGTTTTGAAAATACCGTTTAAAAGCACATCGTCCCACGTGTACGATCAGTATCTCTCGACGAATGCGTTCGCCCAAACTTTAAGGAAAGGGCCGGCCTGGCGGACAACAACGGGCAATTATGAAGACCATCTCGATCACCGCGAAGTCAGCGTAGCCGCAGCGCGAACGTGGACTGCTTAAGGAAGTACACGGAGTGTCGCGTGGAGGAACGTCGGCACACAGAAATCAGTGACAGCAAATTGGACATCTCAAAGTGGGCACCGTTACCGAAGAACGTGCCTCGGGGTGCCCAGCAAGGGGGAGCGATCAAGAGACTCTTGAGGGACGAGCGGCAGGAGAGCGTCGACGAGTCGGCGGCGAGTGCCGAGAAGTGGCCGACGAGATCTCCCCCGTCGACTGAGACTCGAACCTCCAGGATCGCACCCGAGGTCGTCGATGGTCGACCTCAGCACTCTGTCAGGAGTCACAGCACCGACGTGACTGCTCTTAAGAGTCCGACGAAACGCATCACCGAGCAGCGAACACACATGGACTGCAGCGACCCGCGAAATCGCCACGAGGTTGACCGCACACATTTTCCACATCTGAAAGCGAGGAATGCCGTGATCGGGAGAAGTGCGATTGAATCATAGGCGTGATTGAATACAATAGTTATGGATCCTCCAACGGATAATGTCCAACGTCTAGTTTCGGTCAGACTTCTCTGCTTTCTTCGTTCGCCTTTTCCTTCTGAGTCTGGCCGAGCCGATGTTTTGGCGGTGTTCATCGATGAAAGTTCACTTTGGTGAAGGATCGAGTGCACAGAGCAACGTGAAAACATAGTTGCGTCTGGTTTGCTCCATCGACCAGAACTAGTCGCTAATATCTTTTCGTTGTGACGCATCGTATATTTGTGGTTGTGTTGGACTAAGAGACGGTTTTTTAAAAATAGCCACTCGACACGTAATAACGAGAATTTTTGAAGTTTGTAGAAATTTCAATGTTAAGATGTACTTCAATCTCTTTTGTTTACGTAGGATAATTACTTTTACATTATTTGAAAAAAAGACAGCTTTATAATAAAGATTCTTTAAAAATGCATATATATAATATTGAATTTAATATAGGATATTAATGTTGAATTTGCGATTTTTCTTGTATATTTTAAGCCATAATTAATAGTTTTTATCTAAAACTATCAGACACTAGCTTAACTTAATCATTTATACGTATAAATTAAAAATTCTTACATATAATAGATTGCGTCATCAAATACCTTTAATAAGGATCAATAAAAGTTTATGCCATGGTGATAGAAAACGAATGTTAGTAGATTTTTTATCTCATTAAAAGACGAAGATCATCAATTCCTATTTAAATTACGTTGAATTAATCAATTACATTAATCATGGACAGTATATTTTTATCAGAATTAATTAATTAAATTAATTATTTTTAACAGAATAATAATCGAGACTTTTGCTTTGTATGTGTCCTTGCGTAAATATGCATTTATAATTTATATAATTGAATTAACAAATAAACTATTGAGGCAAAAGTTCGACCTTGGACGTACTTACGATTTTCTCAGATGGCTACCACAAATCAACGGCGAAATTTCATCGAGAAAGTTTCCCCTTGCGAGAATTGACTATAAAATCACGAAGAGCGTGGCTAACCAGTGGATGACGTTCGCGAAAAGTTCGTTACTCGGCTCTGTGCCAAGGATAAATTCCAAAAGGACGGATTCCATGACGAAGCACGATAGAAGGAACGAAGGCTCGTGCAAGGACTTTTCAAGGGACGCGGACGCCTCCAAGTGGCAACCCCCCAGAAATTTCTCCCCAGTGTAGAGCGAGAAAGGACGCTTGCAAAGGCAAAGTATGCAAAGCGAGAATCCTTATTTTTTACAGGCATCCGATTTATGCGGTCTACTTTGATAAATAAACAACGTCTGATTGCAGATGAGCTGGATATTCCAGCAGAGATTATTCCTCGACCTTTGTCGACACTAATAAGCGACCGAAAGACTGCTTCTTAAGCTATATCGACATTAACGAGCGAGTGAAAGATTGCTCCTTGAACTATATCGATACTAACGAACGAGCGAACAAGCTCAGAGAACATATACGATACTTATACGATTTCAGGACGCAGAACGAGTGGCCAAAGGGGGAGACCTCCCGGAAGAACACTTGAATCAACAAGAGCAGCAGCGAGAAGAAGAGACCGTAATTATCAGCCGATTCGTAGAAATAGTCAGGATTTAGAATTTAATGACAGAATCGATATTTTTAAGGTATTAATGCTAAAAGTTCTTTTAGGGCCAATATTGAAATTTATGTTTGGAAGCGTCAACTCATCTCACTTTTATCTTTATCTTCCGTAGAGTCCAAGATCTTCCAAGACTCCACAGGAGGAGGACATGTGGAGGCCGAAACGCAGTACTCATACTTATAGAAGCGATTTAGAAAAAATAGGATAAGTAGTGGATTACGTAAGTAAGGTGTAGAGAAATAAGAGTAAGCGGAAGTAAGGCAAGTGGAGGAAAAGATAGGTATTGAAGAAATAGGTTTCAAGGCGATTTAGAGAAAGGTGAGTTATGGCAACAAGAAAGACTGGTTTCAGGAGGCGTAAGAAGGTAGGAAAGATTAAGTAAGTGATGCTGGAATGACGGCCAAATTCCTGATGGCGTCGCTGTTTTATCGACAATTTGTGCATATGTATGTCTGCGATATTGATGTAGTAGTACGTACACGGAAAGAATTTTTTTAAATTTACCCTGCAAATCATGTTAATTATGGGACAATATAGTATTTAGGCAAATTTTACTGTGCACTACAATAGGATTTCGCAGTAAAATTTATTGTAGTGCACAATAAAATTTGCCTAAATACTATATTGTCCCACAATTAACATGATTTTCAGGGTAAATTTTAAAAGAAAATTCTCTCCGTGTAGATGTTTAAAAGACAATTATATGAAGCAAATGAAGGTATTGAGTAGAAAAGGGAGGATGGTGACAAGAAAGGTATATAGGAGAATGATTATGTAAAAATGATTTTATAGGAGGAGAAAATTCTATTGTATTCTACAAAAATCCATGTGATGAAGATCGACGCAGTGTTAAAAACGCAGAAGATTACAGTTCGCAGAATTGTTAGATAATTGCAGCAATTTAAGAGAACATTCAATCAATATATTGCAATTGATTACCAATCATTAGATTGGTAATCAATTGCATTCTCTCCGCTAAGCTTCTCTTGTGTTGAATTCGCAAATCGAACATGCAAGAAAAATAGCAGTAATCAATTAAACAGCCGAGTGATCTGCCGACAATCTAAAGAAGGCTCTACTAATAAGGCAATCAAGTTCAATAATACTTCGACAACGAGCTTACTCTTTTCAGTCTCTTCCGTTTTGTCATGAAAGAATGCGCGGAATAAAACTCGCGGATCTGTAATGCGCGTGCACCACGCCACAGGCGCGCATGTGCGTCTAAAGAGCGGCGGACCAGTGTCTCTTCTACAAGACGTGTCGTTTAGTGCGAGAATATTACATGTCGAAGATATTACGTGTGTTCACCATAGTGGACGTTTCAGGGGGTTGAAAAACCGCGAAACGCGACGCGTTGCTCGTAGTCATTTATACGCCAAAATCACAATCAGCTGCATCAAAAGCAAAGTTTGATTCGTTGACTTTCTTTCCACTTATGTATATCATTGCTTAATTTGTGTGTTTACGTATATTTTCGAAATTCTATATAAAAAGAAAGTGTGGATTTGCATAACATCGTAACGGAGAAAAAATCGAAAAGAAGGGAATTTGTTGCACAATTAATTGGAACTATTAAACTTCGAGAATGTCACTGTTTGCCTGTTGCGTCCGTCAGGTGAGTTGTCAATTGTCCGTCATTGTTTGTCAATAGTTACTGTAGAAATATGCACAAGTTATAGATGTTTTTTCATTCAATATACGAATAGAAAATTTACATATCAATTACGCGATTAGTTAGTTGATTGCGCGCATGCTAATTGCGCGGCGCTTACGAGTTTCACTAATATTATTTTTTGCTTTCATTATCAACATACAAAACATTATAGATAGATAAATTTATTGCTTTTATTACCTATACAAAATTTATAACTATGTATAATAAAATATAATTTTGCCCTTTTGTTATAATTTATTTTATTTACTTTTTTTTCTTTTATTACTTTTATGTTATTTATTTACTATTATGTACATATTTTTAATACATCTTCTTTATAATTTTTTTATTTTGTATTTTTTGATGATTTTATTTGTTTTACATTACATCAAACAAATTATTACCCTATAAAGATAATAATAATTAATGTTATTTTATCTTTAAAACCACAATTTATTAATATTTTAAATACTTGTTGTTTAAAGATATTTACATTTTTAATGACGTTGGTAATACTTTTTTTATTAAAATTCTGTCATTCGTATAATTGATTAAAGCGTATTTGAACGTGTTAGTGTAACTATGATTTAATTTGTTATTTATTTTTTTTAATAAAATAATTGAATTAAGGAAAATATATCTTTTAAATAGGTAATGGATTTTATTAATACGAATTTATTTGTATAAAATTATGAGACAAAAATGGCAGAAAATGTAAATTATTTATAAATAAATCAGAATAACTGATCAGTACACATATAACGTACAGTCATACTTTATTTATATATAAAAATTGTAACAGTTGCTGGCGAAAGGAACAACATTGAAATTGTTTTGCAATGCAAAATAGTCTGAATTCTCTTCGCTCACCCCTATCATTCAGGTGTGGCAAAATCGGTAAATAGAAAAATGAAGTAAGCTGTAGGGCTCACCACGGGCGCCAATGCACGTGCGTGCATGTTTACATCTGTATTCGTGTGCATGTGTATGTCCGTGTGTGCATGCATGTGCTCGCGCCCACGAAGAGAGTGAACGTCAAGCCGCTCGCTAGGGTGAACAGAAACATTTTACGCTATTTAACGGATTTCATGCTCAAGTGTCAAAGCGATCGGCGTCCTTGCTGTAATCAGCGAAGGGTTGTATTAATAGAACGGCGATTCACTATTTTGCAAAATTTTTCTTAGAATCGATTTCGTAGCTCTTTGCTTCGTCGGCGATGTTAAGTCCGATGTGTATAAAGTACGAACCGCGAAGTTGCTGGTTATCGTCACAATAGGCAAATTATTCGCTTGTATTTTTTTCAGCCAAAGTTTCTAAATATAAGTATATATAATATGAAACTGCTCTGTCTCTCTCTCTCTCAGTTGCTTTTGCGACATATATGTCGAAATTTCTGCCAATAACGCAACACGCGGGAAGCATAGTACTCAAAGATTTCTTGCAGTAACTCTTCAAGGAAGTGCATGTTGTGAAATGTTTATTTGTTATGTACTTCTTTCACTGGGAATTGAAGCTTTTATTAACACAAGTTAGTATTTTTTTTCATGAAATTCGCAAATTAGATCGAAAGTTCAGCGATGTGCTTTTGCTTTTTGCGAAATCAGTTCGCCTATCTTCGCGTTCTTTCGTAGAATAATCGTGCTGCGGAAGAGGCGCGTCAGCAGATGCTAGCGAAAGATCCGCCGGAGATCTCATGGGAGAATACACTGGGCTCGCCCAACGGCGTGCCCTTCGACGACGACACGAAAGAGCTGCTGAGGAAATGTCTCGACGTCTCCGTGCCGCCGCCGACTAACGTGGCGGAGCTAATCAGACGAAGCAATGCGTTCCCCACGAAGTTTCCAATTAACACCGTAAGATGTGCCGCTTTGAAGGACAGGGGGATTGGCGCGGATGCTATCGAGGTTTGCGTAAACTTAGCAATATTTGATCGAGCGATTAATAATCAGATAAAAGAAACATTTAATTAAATAATATTTCTATTTTAAATTATAATTTTCTGAAATTTAATGAAAATTTGTTTATCGTAGTTTGAAAATTTAATTGACAAAATTTGCCCTTTTTCTATATGTATAATTTAAAGATCAACAGCTTCTACACTCAAATCTGAGATATCTTTATTATTTCTTTTTATGACGTTCAATAATTTCGGCTAATTTAACAGAGATAGATGATCGTTGACGCTATTTTTTAGTTGAATGCAAATTCGGTATATCCGTTGATACACGAAGCGATGTTGCCCTTGATTGCGCGATGGTTGAAACAAAAGCGGTTGTACGGTAGCTCTGTTGAGAAAATTATGTACGCGGACATGGGCCTCGTCCAATTCATTCATCGCCTACTGGATAAAAGGGCGGCTTCCTTCGGCGGTCCTAATGATCGATGGAAATTACTCGATAACAAGAGTGGCTTCGACGGATGGGAAAGCGTCGGCACCGATCACGAGAAGGAACCATTGGTAAGTACGTGACACCGTCTTACTCGAATCATACTTCATGAAAAGCAATTATAATAGTTAGATTATCTGTGTGAAATATATAATTATATATATTATATAAGATAATAATAAAACTTAAGAGATAAATGCATACATGAATTTTATTGTTAATTTATTTTCCATTTTTAAACCTTTGGTGACGATAATACAAGTAATACCGAAAAATTGGCTAAATAAAAGCTTTTAATAAATAAAAGCAAAAATATGATTACTCCCTCTATGCCATCACAGAAGTAGATATAGATATCAGCTTAAAGAACGAATCTTGAAATACTTTGTACAATTTTCTCGTAAATATTATTATCATAAAATCTCCCATCTCTAGCCTTATTCTTTTTTTCTTTTACTGCGCTTTATAGTACAGGCTATTAAATTGCCTATGGATTAATGTAACGTTACATACGTTTACCGATATTGGAAGTTTATTGGATATTGAAAACAAGATAAAGTTTCATAATACCATTTTCTCTCGTATATCATCTTCTCCTGCGCGACCTTGCGCCGCCTTAATAAACATCTAAAAAATTCGAAATCTGATGAATAGGTCCTATCGAAATGCTTGAGCTACGACGAGATGAAACTGTCGGCAATGATGGTGGTGTCGTCTCACACGGAGTTCATAAACGACGGCTCACGAAATAATAAAGGTATCGTGAGCCGTGACCCAGACGCCGTCCAACCCAAAGGGATTATTATGGGTGTTGTAGGCACAAGGTTCTATGCATTTATTTAACCCCCGCCTTTTCTACGGAGGAATATTTTTATACGTGCAAACTCTCCATGTGACGTGTTGCCGCCGGCGTCTGCAGATGCGTGTTCTATTTTTATCTCTTTCGCGTGCTTGGTTATTTACTAGAAAAATTTTTAACCGTAAAGATTTTTGCGGTTAAAAAACTCCGTTGAAAAAACAAACAATATAGTCATCTGTGCTAAAACACAATTAATCTTTCTTTTATTTTTATTTTCAAAAAATAGTAAATATCGCTCTCTTTTGTAGACAATAAATTCCGTCGCGAATTTGCCGCCCTCGCATTATCATTAAATTCGAGCCATTTTTACCATTTGATTTGTCATGTAGATTCGAAAAGTCCCGAGTTATGGAATATCAAGACATTATCATCGCGCCACAGCAAAACAATATGGATAACGGGTAAGCGATAATTTTCCGCAATAATTGTTAATATTAAAAATATTAAATTGTCCGTATAAATGTAAATTTATTGAGCGGTATATATCTGAGACAAAATTCAAATTTGCATCGCACTGGATAACATCGATACTTTAATATGTAGTTAACTTTTAAAATTCTTTTTATTAATAATTGAGGTATTAATAAAGGTCTCTCTATTAATAAAGGTATTATAAGTTTCACGTATCACTTTTGCGAAAAATTAGTTGCACGTTATTTGAACATGAAGCCCGGTGGAATAATAATAAAATAATAACGGAATTAAGCTACGTTATAACGTGCTCTAGTTCTTTTTGCAGTACACGAATGAAATTTTTCTGAAAGAATCAAAAATCTGTGCAAAATAGATACGGATCCGCGATGGATGGCACATTCGAGGGAAAACGCGGGATGCGTGTTTTATGGGCCAAATTTTACGGCGAGGATTATCACCCGCTCTTCGAGGAAACCGTGAAACGCATGAAGTCGAAAGAGAACAGGCGATATGTATCGTTGGGCAAGTTACTCGTTGGTCAGTTAATCTTCGATATCGAGAACTACATGAAGAGAACCTTGCTCTCCGTAGAAATAATACTACTCGAGGCGAACAGCCGCGCCGAGAAGCAAAACACGACGGCTTTCTTACACGTGATTGGCTTTGGCCTCGGTTAGTGCGAAATTTGTATTGTTAAACTTAAGCACTTAAATGTTATAACTATAATTATTATGAAATTATTTCTCATATTTTGTTGTTTAATTATTAACTAATTAAATAATACGATCGGCAGGTGTCCGGAGAATAATTCAGGATCAGGAAGTCTACTTCCTGAAAACGTTCGAGATCGCCATCAGGAAAATGAATAAGAAGCTCAAGTATGTCTCTGACATCATGTTCGCTTATTTCCAGCAACAGAAATGCGGCGGTGCGGGAAACGGCGATTATCTGGGCGGTTGGTACCCATTATAATAAATGGCTAAATATAAACATCGTTATACTCTTACACAATGGTATATTATTTTTAGATATAAAGATACATTTTGCTCTGAGAGAACCACACAGCAGACTGATCCGAGCCAAAGACGCGAGTAAACTCCTCGTTGTAACCTACGCTTGGGATGGAAATGCATTGCCAGGTTTAAATATTATTTATTTATCTAAATTTTCGTTTATTTAGTGATGCTGATATGAATTTTAATATCTTATTTAATCCATGATTTCTAAAGGAGTAAATATTTTTTTTAATATCTTCAAGACAACGATATTCTTTTCTGCAGGGAATGAATTTTGGGTAGGATGTCTAGAAACCAGCAGCGCTCCAGCTGCCGCGTGCAGCACTCAAATAGCCGAGCTGCATAACTCCAAAATCAATCCACGTGCGTGCGGCGCCAGCTTGCACGTCGCATCCGCGGAGCATGGAATCCTGCACATATCGGATTACGCGAAGCTCCATCTTACTTAGGTAACCCTCGATAAGCGCCTCCTTATCGACGCTGGTCTTCCTTGCTGAAACCGAAGTTCGATTTTGCGATCCACTGGAACTATAAATAGTGTTGCCTTTATATTGTCAACACACACCTTTATTCATTTGAGAAAAAAATCTCGCTTTTTTTCTTACCTTTGTATTTCATTAGAAGAAATACATAATAATCGATAATATATTGCAAGTACTTACCAGGAAATATTCGATTATCGAAAAAATTGAATTTATTAAATGATTTATCCTTTCTTTCCTCCACTCCTTATTCCCCTCTATATAATAAGAGTTAATAATTTAATTTAATTTTTTCACTGTAATGAAGATCTTAATAATAACATTGCTCTTATTTATAACTTTCAATTTATTTTTAACATATAAACATATAGAATAGAATTAAACGTAAAGAAAACTTGATTTTCGAAATGAAATATTATTATTAAAATATTGCCTCTATAAATACATAATAAATTCAAATAATAGACCTATATAATTAGAATTATAATAAAAATATACAAGACATGAAGACATTTAAATTTAAAAAGATATATTTTGTGAAACCGAAAAAAGTGGAAAAAATTTTTTTTTATTCTTTGCTATGCGTGAGACATTCAGTTCCCCGTCACTCTTAAAACCGTTATGAAAAATTAATTTTGAAAATACCGTTTAAAAGCACATCCTCCCACGTGTACGATCAGTATCTCTCGACGAATGCGTTCGCTCAAACTTTAAGGAAAGGGCCGGCCCGGCGGACAACAACGGGCAATTACGAAGACCATCTCGATCACCGCGAAGTCAGCGTAGCCGCAGCGCGGACGTGGACTGCCTGAAGAAGTACACGGAGCGTCGCGTGGAGGAACGCCGGCACACAGAGATCGGCGACACCAGCAAATTGGACACCTCAAAGTGGGCACCACTACCGAAGAATGTGCCTCGGGGTGCCCAGCAAGGGGGAGCGATCAAGAGACTCTCGAGGGACGAGCGGCATGAGAGCGTCGACGAGTCGGCGGCGGGAGCCGAGAAGTGGCCGACGAGATCACCCCCGTCGACCGAGTCTCGAACCTCCAGGATCGCGCCCGAGGTCGTCGTCGGTCGACCTCAGCACGCCGTCAGGAGTCACAGCACCGACGTGACTGCTCTTAAGAGGCCGGAGAAGAGCATCACCGAGCAGCGAAGGCACACGGACTGCAGCGACCCGCGAACTATCGCCACGAGGTTGACCGCGCACATTTTCCACGTCCGAAAGCGAGAAATGCCGTGATCGGGATTATAATTGAGATTCGTAGGCGCGATTGAACACGATAGTCGTTACGGAGCCTCCAACGGGTAATGGCGTCTAGTTTCGGTCAGATTTCTCTGCTTCCTTCGTTCGCCTTTTCCTTCTGTGTGGCCGAGCCGGTGTTTTGGCGTTGTTCACCGATGAAAATTCACGTTGGTCAAGGACCGAGTGCACAGAGCAACGTGAAAACATAGTGGTGTCTGGTTTGCTCCATCGACCGGAACTAGTCGCTAATATCTTTTCACGTTGTGACGCTCATCGTATTTGTGGTCCACGTGTTGGACTAAGAGGCAGTTTCATAAAAATAGCCACTCGATACGTAATAACGAGAATTTTCGATGTTTGTAAAAGTTTGTCTCAATGTTCAGATGTACTCCCATCTCCTTTGTTTACGTGGGATAATTATTTCTACGTTATATAAAAAAAAAGATAGCTTTATGATAAAGATTCTTTAAAAATGCATGGATAATTGATGTTGATTTTGCGATTTTTTTGTATTTTATAAATCAGTAATTAATTAATAATTGATCATTTTTATCTAAAATATCAGAAACAAGTTTAACTTAATCATTTATACGTATAAATTAAAATTTCTTACATATAATAGATTGCTTCAACAAATAACTTTAATAAGGATCAGTTACAGTTTATGCCATGGTGATAAAAAACGAATGTTAGTACATTTTTTATCATTAAAAGACGAGGATCCCCAATTCTTATTTAAATCACGTTGAAGTAATTTATTGCAGTTAATGATGGACAGTATATTTTTATCATCGAGATTTTTGCTTTGTATGTGGCCTTGCGTAAATATGCGTTTATATATAATTGACATAACAAATGGACGATTGAGGCAAAAATTGACTTTAGACGTATGATTTTCTCAGATGGCTACCACAAATTAATGGTGCGAAGTTTCATCGAGAAACGTCTCCCCTTGCGAGAATTGGCTGTGAAATCACGAAGAGCGCGACTAGCCGGTGGATGACGTTCGCGAAAAGTCCATCACCCGACCCTGTGTCAAGGATAAATCCCGAGAGAATGGATTCTATGATGGAGCACGATAAAAGGAACAGAGACTCGCGCAAGGACCTTTCAAGAGACGCGGACGCCTCCAAGTGGCAACCCCCCAGAAAGTTCTCCCCAGCGAAGAGCGAGAAAGGACGCTTACAAAGGCAAGGTATGAAAAGCGATAATCCTTATTTCTTTACAGGCATCCGATTTATATGCAGGCTACTTTGATGAATTGAACAACGTGAACAATTGATTGCAGATGAGCTGGATATTGGCAGAGATCGCTCGTCGAGCTTTGTCGACACTAATGAGCGACCGAAAGACCGCTCCTTGAGCTATATCGACACTAACGAGCGAGCGAAAGACCGCTCCTTGAGCTATATCGACACTAGCGAGCGAGCGAACAAGCTCAGCGAACGTATACGAGACTTGTATGATTTCAAAACGGAGAACGAGTGGCCGAAGAGAGCGGGGACATCCCGGGACAACACTTGGATCAGCAAGAGCAGCAGCGAGGAGGAGAGGCCGATTAATTATAAGCCGATTCGCAGGAACAGTCAGGATTTAGAATTTAACGACAGAATCGATATCTTCAAGGTATAATCAGTGCTAAAAGTTCTCTTAGGATCAGTATTGAATTTTGATGTTTAAAAATGTCAGCTCACTTCACTTTTATCTTTATCTTTCGTAGTCCAAGGCTCCACAGGAGGAGGAAGTCGAACCTCCACGGAGGCCGAAACGCAGTACTCACAATGCCAGCGAGGTGTTCGCGGACGAGTATGACGAGCGTCTACGAAGGTTCAACGAAAAATTGCGTTACAGCACTTACAATGAGGATCTCAGCGCGGCGCGGGCTCGCGGTCGCGAACGGCGCACCTACTCGGACGACTACGACGAGAAGGTCCGGCGGGAGTCTCGTTCGTCCCGGCAGCCGGAACTGGTGACGTTTAAGCGGGACAGACCGGAAGCGCCGGCAATCAGGAGGCTGGTGGACAAGGAGAACAAACGGAATTCGGACGTGAGCATGAGGCCGCGTGATTCCCAGGTCAGCTACGTGGAGATAGACTTCACGAAGAAGAACTCGCGCACCAGCGACGCCAGCTACGCCAGCGTGAACCTGGGCAAGCGGGGCAGCGTCGAGTGCAGAAGCGCACGGCAGATCCTCGACGTCCCGCCGAGGAGAGCTTTCAGCCAGAGCGACGAGCGTCCGGCCACCCCGGTGCCGCCAATTGAGTTCAACGACGAACGATACGTCCCCAAGAAATTGTCGGAACCTTCGGAAAGTACTAGATATAAAGTGTACTTAACATAGGACATGCCTGCGAGAGCGGGCATTTCGCGAAGCGAATGCCGCTTTCGCAGGGTTTTAGATTAACATTTCCGAAGTTAATGATGAGAAAGTACAAGTTCGACGTGCGTGGAGAAATAACCATATGAAGAGAAGTGCGCAAAAGTCAGGTGTCAATAGTAGTGTGTTGCAAATTTAAATTCGTTGCACAGTGTTAACTCGGTGTTGGACATTGCTCGATCATTCTTGTCGAATGATAAAAAAAACGAAATTTTAAATATCTCTGTGAAAATGAATGAATATAAGATGTAAGCAATCCGCGATAAAATACGATGAGTTGTTGTCTGTGAATAACTGTGTTAAACATTCAAGTGTTTATTGTGTTCATTGTAGAACAATGCGATGTGTAAGCAGATGGATGTACAAAACTCACAAATATATTCTGTTACAGATCCTACAATGAATGGCACCCAACCGGGCGCGGGGAGCCTGATACATAAACATATTTGTAGCAGGTTTACAATGAGCCACATAACCAGAAGTTTCCTATTCGTGTTTTCATATTGGTGTTGAAAAGATAACTGCGATATTAATAATGTACAAATGATGTAATATCAAAAATAATAAAATATTCTTTGAAGAAAGTGCTTTTTTCGCCGAGATTTTTATGTGTACATAGACTTTAGACTTTTGTCTTCCTGTAATCATGGCTCTCTTGATAATTGAAAAGCAATTCTTATTTTTAAAAATACTGTAAAAATATACGTTTTTTTATAAAATATTAGTTGATGTAATGTTTTCCAATAGTCAAAATATCCAACAAATTCAATCTGGAAGAATCAATCTAATTTGAATTTAATAGAACATTCGCAAGATATTATTTTTAGAAAGAAAAAATATTTTTATAACAAGAAATTTTTATTAAACCAATATTTAAATGAAATACAAATTTAAATATATTAAGATATATAATATACTAATTTAACGCACAACTAGAGAAATATCTTCGATATAATTTGGTATTTTTGATATCTTTAGTATTTTTGATTTCTAAATATTTATATAAGTAAACTAGAAATAAAACTTTAATGTATCAACTCAAAATATAAGTGCACACTAGTGATCTAAAAAATTATTTAGTTAATTTTATATCGTACAACACCAATTATTGTCAAATACAGCATAAAAGAAATAATTTACGTAACATGCGTGCAAAAAGCAAAGTGATCGCAATGATCGATCCTCACACGAACAAATTTAAATTCTTTCGTCAATATTTCATTTACGATCTGCACCACACAAATCGCCGCGAAATCCTGAACTCGTATCTTTTACAAAGGCGACTTTGACTCTTTTTCTGACCGGGACATTATGAACAGGTGGTGGCGGAGCTCTACAGTCCCTCGATGCCTGATCTTCCTCTTCTCGCTCGATCTTAAATCTCTTTTGTGGACAATTCGAGCCGCTCGATCCTATTCCGTTTGCAACTGACGTGGTGCTCGTCAAAGATGAAGACGAGCCATTAGGTACTATGCTAGTGTTCGATGAGAGTTGCGGTGATTTCGGGAAACTCGAGGACCGTCCGCTCGATGGAGAACGTATAAGATTTCCATTGCTGTTGCTATGAGAAACATAAAATTAGAAGCATCAAAATACTATACTAATAATTAAAGGGTTTATTGCAACAATGACCTAACTCACAACGTAGCTGAATATGTGATACTGAGAGAAATGAATGTATTTTTTCGTTATTTTAACTTTATAATTTATTTTCTCCGTTTCTGCAAAATGTGGGTTAGCTCACTGTTGCAGCAGGTCCTTCAATTGTTTAAAGCAATGTCTAATATGCTAATAAAATATAAAATAGTTTGTTTCTAGAAAAATAAGGATATTTAAGTAAAAAACAAAAATCACATGTATATTTTTCTATTATAAGAAATATCAAAGAAAGATTAGAAGGAATACGAATTTGGTTATGGGAAAAATGTAAATATACTCTCGAAATTGCAAATTTTAAAAATTATAAAACTTGTTTGTACTGTAAGTTACGAATTATTAAGTGATAATCGTATCTTCATTTAATTAATAATCCATTTTTGTCTTAAAGAAAATTGGAAAGAAAAAAAAAAAAGGATCAAAATTAGAATTTGATTGTCCGTTCGTACTAGCCATACTAGAGAGGAAAAAATATTCTAGTTTAGATAATATATTTGAAATATAAATATATAACGTGCTATTCTATTAAAGAAAAGAAAGAGCAATTTAATAATCTGACAATCCAAAAAACTTAAGCATTCGTAAGATTTACAAGTCAGTTGCCTGTCCATTTTTTTTAATTCATCTATTCCTTTGCAGGAATAAAGTTTATTTAACGTAATCCACCTGTGGAAGTTGCCTTGAGTGACGACGATGGAGGGTGTGACGCAGCGTTTTCCTGCGGAAATTGTCGCATTGAGTCCGCTCGGGGCAATCATCAGCAAATTACTGCCGTTCTTGTCACACGCGTGCGAACTGTGTCTCTGCGCGGCATAATTAACACGAAAGACGTGAGAATTTTCGTTACTCAGCTTCTCCTGTTTCAGAAACGCTACGGTTGGCTTCACGTGGTATATAGCGGAGTTTTGGCTGTTGGAATGCGATTCGCATTTAATGCGCACGTCGTGCTGCTGATGCACCCCATTACGGTCCTGATTCTTTTGCCATTCCAGAACATTGCTTAGCAATCTTATGTACCTAGAGCAAGCAAGATTTGTTATTATTTCAATTTCGAATTTTAGGCAATCAATTTTTTACACTTCACTTTCATATTCTTGTTAATATTACTTTAAAAGCTTTTATTAAATATTGTATATAATCTACATGTCTCTCTCTATTAAATTATTAATAGAAATCCATTTACTTTGCATTTTATTACTAATAAAAATACATTTACGCGCGCAAATTTTGATATATTACTTTCAATTATTTTTAAAATAACAAAAATACCTTTACATATGTTTTCTTATTTTATGAAAAAAATTCTTTAGCAAGTGTAAATAAAAGTAGAAGAGAGCATTTGTTTAGGATTAGAAAATATGTTTTTATAACTAGAGAATTACCTTATTGCCATCCTTAAAATCTCATTTTTCGACAGCTTCTTGTCAGGTGGATGGGTCGGCACTAATTTGCGAAGTTCGGCGAAGGCGCCACTCACATTCTGCTGCCTCCATCGTTCACGACTGTTAGTGAATAATTTTCTAACTCCTAAACCACCTATACGTGGCGTAGGCGATCCCAAATGACCACTGCCGGAAGACGAGATGCCGTCTAGCTACGAGATTATCGTGAATTTCATTAAATTGTCTCGCTAATATTATAAACCATTATTTAGATTCTGGATAAGACTAGCAAGATTTGAAGAGAAAATCTGTTATGCTCAACAATTGAAACCTATAAAGATGCAATTAAATACATAAGAGCAGATTTTTAATTTTGCTTACGGAGCTGGAACGGTCCCGCCGCCTTTTGCTTTGTTCTTCCTCCTCATCTGTGTCGTGGGAATAAAACTCGTCGGAAAGCGTGGCTTCCTCTTCCGTGTCCCTCGATGTCCCAGGCGAATCGCCGGCTTCTTCCACGAGATCTCCCTCACCGGACAATAACGATCCCGCTGGGGAACCATTTTCGGCCTCCGCGGCACCTACGCCGCAGCCATTGTACGTTAACATCGGCTGCAACGATTTGATAAGTATGATGAACAAATACGACGAATGCACAAGAAACTTTGCTACCATTTGTCAACGTCAATCATCGCGTTCTAAATCTCACAAATTATAAATATAATAGAAATTTTTGTTTTATGTCTACAATTTTGAAACTTATTAAAATTATTAAATCAGATCAAATCAAACCGGCCTGATTTCTTTCAAATTTATTAAAATTTTTAATTTAAATCTATCTTGATTTAATCTGTTATTGATTCGCTACCGTGATTAATTAATTGCTTTCGAAAACTACAAGTGGAATCGATGACAATTTAATGACAATAAAACAGTAAAACAAAACTGATTATAGAAACATGTCTTTAACAATCTATATATAATTAGCTATGTAACGCCAACGGGAAGTTGATAGTACTGGACTTTAACTGTCCCTGACATTCGACAGATATGTATGCCACTCATTGTCAGTTTATCTTTACACATGACATTAGTCATGTATGCACTCGCCGTCGCTTTGTACATATCAGTTTTATTTATATAAAAAAGGAAGCGTTTCCGTTTATGCACTTGCGCCTTCTCTCAGTCATAATTTTTGCATTCTTCAATTCGTCCGGCATTAAAAAAATTGATCCTTGATACGGATGATGGATTTCCTGTCAGTCAACAGGTTTTATGAGTCTGAGAATCGCGTTATCATCGTGTCTATTGTATTTTAATTCTTTCTTCATTACTGATAAAACACTAATAGACTGCATACTCGAATAACTTTTTAAAAATCCACTTTAAAAATGCCTATGTCCACACAATGTTATTCATTCTGTCATGACGAATGGCATAATAGACACACACATATGCATTACATTATCTTTTTATAATTTTAGATTTCTTTAGAAGATGAAAACGATTGTAATTAATTATAAACTGAACTAAAATTTTCTTTGCACTCAAATCATAAGTTAATGAGTTCTAAACCGTTTAGGTAAATTACGACATCGCATCAGATTTATATTTTTTGCAAACACATATGAAACTCGCACATGTAGAATGTAGAAATCGCAAGCTCCATACAGCCACTGAAAAAATTGAAAAATATGTTGCAATATGATCACACGCGCACACGAAGCGGTCAAGACTCACCATGTTGCACCCGAAAAAAAATCCCGGCAGTATCGTGAGATTAAACGGCAGACTGACTTAGAGAACAAATGACTCGGGGAACGATCCAGCTCGCATCGCGATCATGATGGTGAGTAACACCGACCGCCGAAAGAGTCGATCTAACTAGTCGCGAGTCCGGGGTAACCCTCTGCGTAAATGAATTTCACGAGGGCGGAGCGCAGGCTTATGGGTGGAGCTCGTATCAGGTCCGTCCCATCCAGCATCCCTGTATCGACGCGGATCACATCTCCTATACATCCAACGAAAACGCGACCACCACTTCCGCCTTCGTCGCGCATCGATCCCTCGGTCCGCATAATGTCGTTGCTCGAAAGATTTTGCGATACGAGGCACGACATATGCCGACGTCACTTTCACTTTTCAAGCTTTGTCAGATATGTGGGAGAGTCTATTAAGAAATTAAGGCTCCTTGTAAACTATAAACTCTAACTTCACTGATTATAAAATAAATTTAACTGGCTCAGGGAAAAATGATCGGTCTATAAACGTCGATTCGATATTTAGACGATTCGACGTTGATTCGATGATTATAGATGTCGAAACGACATCTATAGACCAATTATTTCTCCTTGGCGAGGGATTTCAAAATTATAATTACTTTGTTGATAATAAAAATATCAGTTAAAAAAACTAATTTCTGAAGGGTATTTGTATTACATTGCGGGCAACTTTTATATTTACGATGGGTCGGCGATATAAAAAAGTGTTACCCGTTATGCGGGACACGCGTAGGTAACCGAGGGTAATGCACGTGCCCTTTGTAAGCCGTTTATTTCTAGATTAAGGTTCCGATATATCTAAAAGAAACTGACATTTTTAGAGCCACACAGCTAGTATATATTTAAAAATGTCTAAAAACGTCAATATGTTTTTACACTTTTATTGAATAATTTATACTATATAAAATATTAACAGACATTATATTATTATGTACTTGAGCTTTTTATTAATATTTCAAGATTCAGCTGAGAGTTGCTGCACCTTCTATATTTATGGAATAAAAAATCAAGTATATATTCTTAAGGCATCGAGATTAATATCATCAACGCCTGATCGTCGCCCATGTCTAATTCTCTATTCGATTTGTACGTTTCGATTTGATGTTAGGTATGGAATAAAGACGACTGTAAGATTTTCTTCGTTATTTTTAATATAAATTAAAATATGTACGTTTATTTGTGTACATTGCAAAATCTGTCTCCACCCTCTTCCTGTTTCGACGCATTGCCACACGTGTTTCAAAGATGTTTTCTACGGCACTAAAGGATAATACGTGTCAAGTTTTATGGTATCTTATCGCCCAGTATCAGTATCCAGTCATTGTCGTTGCTGACACAACCTTACTCCGATAAAACGAATGAATATTTTTTTTAGAAAAGACAAACATGGTCTCTCGAGACAAGAATTGCCACATCGCAATTAAAATTATTTAATTTTCAGTATTTATTCTTAACGCATCTTGAGATAAGAAATTTTATGCAAAGCATTTAATAATTACGATTGTTGTTTGTCGTTTTTAAATTATATTATAACTATAACTGTGACTATTCTTATCCATAATGAATAGTTAAATGTAGTAAATTATTAATAAATTTAACTAGTAAATTATTTTCTCCAAATTATTTTTATATATATAAATTGTTAATTTTTTTTTTCCTTACAGTCAAACGTTACAATGTTTAGAATATATCAATCAAGCAAAAAAATGCATGTTTATAAAATTAATAATTATCTTGATTTTCTGCAGATAAGAGTCATCGCACATTGAGCTTACCCAAAACCAGACCAGGTCCCACGCAGATTGGCACGTAATAGCGCTCGAATGAGCATCAAGAATGATACTATCTAATCAGGCTTCGACGATGACACCCCGACGCATCCTGCTGGAAAATCTGTAACACCCTCCCGAGGTGTCACAATAAAACAACCCGTGGCTGGTGGCCACTTGACGACGGGGGGTAGCGTCGCTCTCTCACCCCTAATGTATACTAAGCAGGGCTTTCGTTTTTTTATGCCCCTCGAATCCGGCTAATCGAAAGTTGATTGTTTGGGAAAAATTTTCGTGAATGCGTCATCCATTTCAACTTACTCACTTAGTCGTGATGTAATTACGCAACTTCTGTTGTTTCTTTATTTAAATATCAATTTTGTATCAATAATTAAATATCATATACATTTCTCTAACAATAAGTATATTTTGATAATTTATTTCACAGTTGTGTATATATAATTGGAATTATTTTATAAACCTAATATCATTATTTTTTCTTATCCTATAACAAATTTTTTGTAATATTGTTTGATCAATCAATTTCTATATTTTTTAATATTTCTTATTGTTTATTAATTGCACGTATTTAGCTTAGAGAAATCAATTTAAGTGTAATATTATTTCTTTTCTACAATAACCGCGTGAGATGCAATATTATTTCTTTTATGTACGATAACAGGCATAGAAAAAAAATTTGAAAAATAGCCAACGAAAGTCCCATTACAGAAATCGACAAAGAGGCACCCCTAGGGTGCCCCCGTAGAATTTAATAGGGGATATTTTGTAGCGGTTTCCCACAGACCCGGCAACTCGCGGCCAATTTGCGCGTGTCAATGAATAAGAATAAGGTATTAATATCGCCGTCGCCTCACGAGATTGACTCACGTGACTCTTATCGCGGTCTGTGGCGTCGTGCCGTGCCGATTTTCAGATAAAAATCCGGAGGATCGTTAATGTCGACGGGATCCAAGCGGGAGATTTATATCCATAATAAATATGTTACGAATTTATCGGTATCGCGGAATCGTAATTACAAATACACGTTCGTCCACAGTACGTTGACACTGTTAACGATTATAAACATTCCGACAAATATTCTCCAGCATATTTATCGTCCGCGCGTAACGAAACATAATGTAAAAAAATGCGAAGATTAATTACAGAACGACGTAGCGTAACTGTTAATTAAGCGTCGAGGTAATCCTTTCCACTTTACGGCATCTTAAAAATTAATCTTCCGTCGATTTGTCCGTTTAATCCCCGAGATTAATATCTCACGCCGTTGCCGGGTCCTCCAACAACTTGACCCTGCAATTCTACGATCGCGAGAACGCGGGAGGGTGACTGCCGCGAGAGGGCTGCAGGGCGGGGCATCCCTTATCAGCGGCGAACACTCGCGCAGCCTCCATCTCCTCGTTTCAATAGCGTTCTGCCCGAAATCTCAGCGGCACTTTCACTTGTACATGAGTGTCACCGTTAGATAGCCATCTTAGAATATTGTCTCCTTGTTGCAATAACTAAATATTATATTGTTAAATAAAAAATCCTATTTATTCTTTTTTATACAAATATCATTGACAATGGTCAAGTTATTATGAAATGTAATGAAATTCAGAACTGCAATTAAATTAGTCGTAAAATAATTTTGCACGAGAACAGTTGCCTTTTTTAAGTTCTGTCTCTCTAATATAATTTATTGCTCGACAACGTCTCTACGTCTCGATAATTTAAGAATTATTAAACTTCAAATTATCATTTGCCTCTAAACGTATATATATTTTTGACTAATTCAAATTGTTTTTATAATTCGTAATTATATAAATTATTTGCAACATCACGTTCCTGGCAAAAACTTCAACGCAAAAACTTCAAAGCCGTCATTGAAATGTCCAAAAAACATATCGCCTATTCGTATTCTGTTTACAAATCTTTTTTCCAATATCTTTCTGATATTTGAAATTCAAGATTTTCTCTTTTTGTTGAACAAATAATGTCGTGCCACAATTTTACAATACAACAAACCGGCATCCCTCTATAACTTTTGTTTAGCGGAATGCAATCGATTTCCGTTAACGGAATTAAATCACTTCTTGAATGGAGTTAAATCGGTGTTTTACCGGGCACACGTGTGAGTATTGGGATCTCGCCGGGATGTGTCGGTGGGAGAGAGGCGTGTCGCTGGTTTTGCGCAGCGTCCCATGAACGTCAACGCGCTCGAATGGAGCATCCCCGTGCCGTAGGGTAGTCGAGGGGTACGCGAAGGGTGAAATCAATTTTCGTTATCGCCGTCAACCAGCCGCCCCACGCTAATCCCATTATTAGTGTTTGTTTTCCACGTGTGGCACTCGCGCCCGCTAACGTATCGATCATCGAAACGCACGTATATGTAAGACATTTTATATGTAGAACATTAACTCTCTGCATTGGGAGTAACGTGATGTTACGATGTCACGAAGTTATCTCTGCGTCACAACTGCGATAAAGTTAAAATAAAGGAATATTATATTTTGAGGATAACTGATACGAGGTAAGATGTAGAAAATATTATATCTATAACACAATATCTCTTTATATTCTCGAAAAAAATTAGATATATTTTAGAAATTAGATTCTTAAAAGACTTTTTAAAAGAAAGTACTTCTTAAAAGAAAGTACTTTAAAAATTCTTGAAAAAATAAAATTACTTGAAAATTATAACTATGTAAATATGAAAATATGTTTATATCACAACGACATGTAGCATTCAACAACGGTAAAAGTAGCAGACAGATTTTAATATTATATAACTAAAAAAAATTTCCTGTATGTATAAAAATATATTTATAACTGTTCTCTACATGTCATTTTGTTATTTTATTTATTAGCTCTGGATATATCAGGATACTTGTGAATTTGAGTTGATTAGATCTGACAATGAGTAAATTTGACATTTAAATGCAATCGTTTAGTTGATTGTTTTATTTACACAATTTAACAATTAATTTTATTGTCCAACAATGTATTTCAATTTGTTTAATTGTATCGTCCGTTAATCTTAAGAATTAACTTTACGGTCGAAATTGTACCGTATCAGATGCGATATCTCACTCATCATATCACGATTTTGTATCGAAGCACACGTATGAATCGCAAGTCTATCTAGAGTATTTGCAACAGCCAGTAACGATTATGCGACGTGTATAATCTCGGTATTTATATTATGTCAACTAGATAATTCTAATAAGTAAAAGTATAATTTTTAAATCTACTCGATCTTTATTGGAGCTTTGTCTTTTTTAAAGTTCTAATTATAATATTTCGAGAGTAACTGCAATCTCATTCAGCTCCTTTGATACGTATATAATCCAGCGGTTCGGCTCAATTGAGACAATTAAGTCGCAGAATCACCGAATTTCGATCACAACTTTTTTCGTTAATTTCGAAATGGTTTTGTACAATCGCCTATGTTCACGGAAGAACTCAATAATTATATGACTACGCAAAATACTATAAAATTTCTAGGATATGCGAGTATTCGCAACGATTCGAGTCGTATCCAGGTTTCTTCGTCAATTACCAAATGAGTTCAATTATTCGATAAGCTCGCGCGAGTAATTCTGTAGATTCTCGAATGTATGAAATTAATTAGACATACCATGGCATCATTAGACGTCATTAATTATTCTAATATTACATAAAAAAACAAATATATATTGTGAGCTTTATATAGCCGAGAATACTTAATATTAAATGACATCGATTTATTCAAATATTTTTAGTTAAATCAAATTATTAATTAATACTTTTAATTAAATTTGGATTGAATGTTGAATAATTGATTTCGAAAACCCGCACATCTTTAAAAACTGTAATTTTACTATAAATACATATTATATACATATATAGTAGATTGTAGAAATATTGAATGCAAATCTGTACACATGGTTGCATATAAAAGTATTATACAATCACAGTATGTTCACAAAGAATTCACAAATATTACTATAACTAGGTCGAGCCGAGCTTAACAAATAAGCAATTAATTGATAAATTAAAAATATATTTGTATATTATTTAATTTATCTGAATTCAATTTATCTAAATTGAAGAAGGACTTAAAATTTATATCCATGTACGAATAAAATTAGTGAAAATATAACATTAAATATTAAAATTTTTTGTAAAATTATGTTAATAAACCAAACATATATTCGGGTATTAAAAATTTTAGTTTAACCAATAATAAAATTTTAAAAAAATTAAAAAATGAAAATTTAATTGTGTTTGTTACACAATTTTGACTTTCGTATTCTCAAGAATATTTATTTTTATTATATAAACTAATATACTCTTTATATTTTATTTTTAAACATTTATCTGTTATTAAAATTTTTCAAAATTATTTTTAACACAACAAAGAAAGGCAGTATTAATAATAATATTTTCTATTATTAATTCAATCAGTTGTAATAAAAAATATCGAATTCATCAATTATCACTATTATTGTCCTTCTTTTCAAATGACTTTGATGCAATATCGATATTATTAATTATGTCAATAGAAATATGTGTTAGGTACTGTAAATACTGTCGACAACGCAATCTGTTAGTGAAAAGCAAAGCAAAGGATCAGCAAAGGCACCATGATGACACAAATAGTGTAAACCATTGTTCTTGGTTCGCACACAGACACACCAATATATTCTTCATTCCATTGTGAATCATTTCCACTTAATGGCAATTCTAATACCGTCCTTTCACTGCTGAATATTTTAAACGGTAACGAGCATTCCGTCGTGCTGTTTTTACATGCGTGCACGGGATTCGAAGTATTGTAGACAGTCTTTAAAAGGTCAAACTTCACCCTCACGTAATTGGGTTGAACTTCATTTTCCGAATTAAAGACAAAGAAGTAATATCCATTTAGAGGTACTCTACAATCAAATAATACAAAGTACTTATATTACAAAAATTTGTTTTTACATGTCCAATTAACGTAAGACAGTTGTATTTTTTTTAAACATTTTGAAAAAGAGTATTTATTTAATTTAGATTATTGAAAAAGAGGATTCACATAAGTCCTTAATTAAGGCCGGTAATTAAGAGCAAATAAAAGTGAATTAACAATCAAATTCATCCTTATTTGTATAAACAGAAAATTAACGCAAGCAACTTGTTCACCTACCTATACGTCACCGTGTTGGCAAAGGAAGCCGTAGAATGATCACTTTCGTGTTTGGGTGTACAAAAACGATGCGGTGTCAAAGGTAAATTCAGGATAAGGCCTTTGCATTCCAATAGCCGTTCTTCGGAACTGCTGAACGAGCTCCAGAATTCGGAGTTACTTCTGTCGTTCAAAGTTGTTTCGTTTACGGTACCTCGATCCTCCGCGATACCATCTGGATGCAGCATACCCTGATGAGGAAGAGACAACGAATGAACATATCTTAACATTTTTTACAATGCCTCAATTGAACATGGTAATTTTTTCAAAAGTGAGTTCTTTGGTTTTTCGCATTAAAAATTATTAATTCAACATTACATATTTTCTTTGAATAAAATATATTTTACTAAACTCACAAAGTTAGAAACAAATTTCAAATGACAAATGAGCGAAAATCATATTCGAACTTTGCAAGTAAATGTGTTCCACAATATCTGCCATAAAAGTAGTCGTGGATAAGATTGATCAAATATCATTATACGGTTTATATACATCGATAAACACTCTCGCAAAAATACGACGGAAAGATCCACAAACGTAATTATGTGCATACTAATTTCTGCGAATACACATAACGTATCTTTCTACTCGCGCTACAATACGCGATGAATTAAAATCCATTGTTTTTAAATCTATCTTCATTTTAATAAAAACGTGTTATCAGTGATAAAGATAATATTATTTTATGTGTTAATATTCTTACGCATTATTTTTGACAACGAAAATTCTTTAGCCAATATTTTAACGATATATAGTTAAATTTTTCAATAAACATATTGTTTTTAACAATAAGTTGAATAAGTATAGAAATATCTGAAGTTTAAAATTTCTAGAGTAATTATAATTAGTTTATTACATTTTGCACTAATAAAACATAGAAAGTTCGTAAGTGGAATAAAATTTCTACCTCTTCCACCGCTGCGTCGCCATCTTCATCCGCTTCTGTTAATTCTCGATAAAGCGGCGATGATAGGACTAAGTCTCTTCTTCTTCTCCGTTTATCTTCTCTCGACAATCTCTTATCATTCATAGTGTCGTTCACCAATCGTTTCAACGCAGCGCCTTTGGCGCCAGCCTGCGTGTCAATCGTGTCCATCAATTTGTGCAGCATCTGTTTACCGCGGTCACCTAGAGAATTGATTTTTCGTAGGATATCTTGAAACACCTCCTCAGAGTTTGTCTGTTTGATTTTCGACTCCGTTTGCTCTTTTACAATGTTTTGTGTTGTACTAGACTCCATTTGCTTGCTAGATATTGTAGAACTCGGATGAAGATTGGGAGAAAATGTAGAATTTTGCTTGGTTTCAGATTCGTTGTGGTTGTACTGCTCTTCTTGGAGAGAAACTGGTTTCGAAGATACTGGCGTGGATCTGAAATAAATGAGTACACAATTTTCAATTACAAGGAAAGAAAGCTAGAAAAGGAATTGATTAGATATAAATAAGACTTACTTACAATTTGCAAAATCAAATTTAATTAATAATATATTTAACGTTTCAACTATTATATTTGACTTTCAAATTATTTTAATAAAACAGAAAAAAACCAAAATATTTATTAATATATAATAAGACAGTAAGTATTAATCAGTAAGGGAAATAACGCACTTTGTACTATTTTCTGATATCTTTTTATTATTGTCAAATGTACTTATTGACTTTTCTTGAAACTGATCTTGTAAATTTTTAGGATAGCTCGTCGCTGGCTTATCTATATTAGTAATATCCCTAAAGACTGCTTCGTAATGGTGATGCGGATTTTTCTGCTTCTTCTTTGTATTATCGGTTTTGGCCAGAAGCTGGGTGAGTATATTTCGCATCGTTTCAGCGTCCAACTCGTGACTGCCCAGCTGATGTTTAGATGATTTAGAAACATTCAAACGAAGAGCTTTATCTTCATGATAAAAATGTACGTCCTGGTCTGCTCGTCTCATTTTATCAGGTACATTACTAAGACGCACTGTCTGTAATGAAAGACATATAGCATAGATTTATATACATTAATTTCCGGAAAGAAAAATCTATTTTCGAGAGATATAATACCTCCGTGGTGCTCTTTACATCAAGAAGACCTTTTTCTTTAGCGACTTCAACGAGTTCCTCGAGTTCCTCACTACTGTCATCTCCGATGAAGGCGCACTCGTGTAGATTCTTGAAGCCACGGATTATCGTTAAAGAAGCACCTGGCCATCTAAAAATAGTAGAAGTATTCCTGTTTTAATAAAATAATGTAAATAATTAAAGTACAAAATTACTTTGAACAAGTTAAATTTAGTTAAGAAATTAGAGAATTGTATTATATATATAAGCAATATTTATTGCTTGTATGTGTGAAAAAAAATTTTCTTTTCCTCTTGGGATTTACGTGATAACGAGCCCCCATTTTTATAATTCTACCTTACACAAGCTGAAACAGTGACACTACTGCCGTGCAGAAGATAAAATCCCCAATACTCCTTCATGTCATCCTCCATAACGAGTTGTCTCGTCATCGAAACGGGCACCGCTTCCTTTTCAACCACTGGCTCGTTACTCATGAGATACGCGTTGAACGTGGCGTTAACTTTGATCACTTGGCTCTACAAACAATAATTAATTTACCATCGAATTCATCAGTTTTAGTTTCTTGAAGAAAAAAAAAGGAATAAATACAATGCGTGCATTAAAAAAAATTATTTATAATAAAAAATATTTATTTAGTCATCAAATATCGCGCACATATTGTGAATGATCTTAATTCCATTATAATAGAAGGAAAAGAGTTATATTTAATTCGTAATAATAAGATATACAATAGTTTAGGGCAAAATCACGAAATGATATATGCAGATCATATCTCTTTAGGATTCAATTTAAAAATTTACGAAATTTTAAGATTTTTAGGAATTGTAAGAAAGAGAAAAGATTTATAAATAAAATATAGTAAAAATGCCTTACTTGGCACCAAACGGTAGATACTTTATTATCGATCAGTCTCTGATCTGATATTCCTAAGGCATATAGCTGCTCGGAGTATACGCGGTATCGCAGATACAGCGGCCCAATAATGAATACGAACGGCAAAAGCATTCCCAGCAAACATAATCGCATCAATCTCAAAGGTACTTTAAAACTTGATCTTCGCGGTTGCCAATCTCGTGGGCGAATACCATCCTCTGCGAAAACATATTGCTGGTATAAAACAAATATTTCAATCTTTCAAATATCAATGAGAGAAATATAATGAGAGAAGATTCAATCATCTTCAATTTATTTTGTTTGATTAATTTTGTTGCATTAATAACGTTAGAAATGTATTCAAGAACTTTTATAGATATAAAATACTGCAGACTACTTTTCTTTCTATTTTTATTTCTATTTATACATCTAAATCAAAACTGGTTTGCTACCTATTTTAATTCAGCCTCTTTGAATTATCCAAAAGAAATATTGAAAACTTAAAAAATTGTTTATTTTACAAACGCTACAAATGCGGTATTCTCAAAAGTTACTTTTTTTCTTACAAAAAGCTTTATATGTAGAAAATTAAACGTGAAAAACGGTAGATGTTACAGAGCTATAAAGATACGAAAATATTGTACGTCTGTAATTTTCCTTACATTCAGCTAGCAACTATTGATTTCGAGTTCGATTGATGTCGAGATTGGTAAGTAAAAGTATACCTAATTAACACCTAATCAATTTCCTTGATATGAAGTGTAACATATGTAGGAGATATAGTTCCTTATCGTTTATTATCTGCAACGCAACAGGCCAGATACGTTCTCGCCTGCAAACGTGTATTAAAAGAGCGGTGGAAATTTCCATGAATCCTTCTTCTCTAAAGCATAATACTGAAATGCGGATTCTGTTTTATAGCCTCCCTAATACCTACTTCGACACACAAATTTTATAATTTAAAAAACACGTTATCGGATTTTATCGCATCACATTAACGTAAGCACGTAATAAAATGCCTGTCTGCAGGCCTTAATGACAATATTCGATAATACTATAAGTCAATCTTATCTAACGAAACCTTTTAAATGAAGTTAGAGCGGAGACGACTTTCGAATATCTAGACGCATTCGAAACAAACATATTTTCACGAATACGAAATAATTATATGCGATATTACGCACTTTTCTTGTATATATTTCTCAAAATATAGAAATATTATTTTATATATCTATAATACGTTCGAAAAACGACTCGAACATATCGAATTAGTTGTGAATGCGTAGCTCGTGTTGCGCAATTTGTTTATAACATTTCGTAATACCGGATAAATAGTTAGAAAGCGCTTGAGAATCACCACAGTGGACTATATACTTAAAGGAAAACACGTGTTAGCAAGAACAACGCAGATTACACGCAACGACTTCGTGAACTCGTGGGAGAAGTCGCGGAACGGACGTCGCGAGAATCTCGCACGATGCCAGATTTGATGTGATCAAGAGGTCATCAGTCTCACCTTTAAGCTTCAACGAAACGAACGATGACCTGATCTACAGAATGATGCTCTGCACGATACGTTATCACATATCGCATTGATAACTCTTTTTTTTGTGAAGCGGTGTTGTTGGATAGGGAGATCATTATTTACCCAGACGGCTTGGGCAAACAAAGCATCATGAAAATTAAACAATTTACACGATGAAACAGTTCCTTTCATTATCGAAAACTATGCGATTTATAGTAGAGAGCTAATATTTAATTCAAAAATATTTCGAAAGAAGCGCATGTTTTATATTTGACTAATTAAAACGATTTCAGTGATCCATTTTTCGTACAAGTTTTATCTAAGCGAGGTCATTTTAATAGCACATTTTATTAAAATCTTATTCGATTAAGATAAATTTTAAAACAACAAGTATAAAAACGTTAAAAAATTACGCAAATCTTTTAGTCCAGATAGCTCCGTGTGACTCCGCTACGCCTCAAAATAACTTTATAGGTAGAAATATATAATCTCATCGCTGGCTTACATACCTATATCGCGTTATGCGCATTGTTTGCGGAAAGAAAGATTCATCCGTGTGTGAAACACGTGCTGCTAGCAGTGTGGCCTGCCAAGTCGAGAAATTTAAAAATAAAACCAATCTGCCTCGCGCGGGCGGCACACACTCATCTGTACAGTTAAATGATCTACATTAAAGAAGAATGCGCGATTTTACAGAGTGAATGTGCGGCCTTTTTAAAGGCATCATTTTCTCTTATTAGTACACAGTGCGACTAATGATTATTGGACGCAATGTGCACTGCAAAAAATTTATATATGTAAATCATTGAAAAAACGTCACATAATATACTCCCTAAAATCTTCATTTCTATAATTATCAATTATTTTATAATTATAGAGAATATCCAGCATTTCGTTTGTTCGTATCTTTTAATTGAACGAAGACTGTACATTTTTAATTATAACATTTTCAATTAAACGCAGGACAGAACCACGTGCGTTTGTGGATTTGCCGCTAAAACAGAAAGAACATCGTACGTTACAGCGCACTTCCGCAAAGTGCAAATACTGCAAATAAAAGAAATTATTTTACTATCGTTCAAAGTGCATCGAAACAGAGCGACACGCGTTGTGCATTTATGCGCAGTGGCAACTGCCTCTACATTGTTTCCACGTTGCACTAATCATTCGCACTGATAACGTTATTAAGGCACGTTACGGAAAGCAACGACAAATAATCAGCGGAGATTCCTACCAAGAGATATACATATATATGTATACCTATTCTTAAAGGTGTCGTTGACATCTTCCTTGAAAGATCGCGGCATAGACTTGCTCGCTCAAAACTCGGAACATAAGACACAGGTCGCAGCCACGTTTCCTTCCCCGAGGACGGAACACACGAGAATAGAACTTCTATATAAGAAGCGCATACACTGCGCCGATATTTACTTTTCACGTTCGATCATATTACATAATAACAAATCACTTGCAAACGATGTTAGTTAATTCAGCAGTTTTAGTCTCGGAAATTTAACACCGAATTAACGCACGCAGCAAATTTTAATTCTGCTGAAATTGCTTCTTGACTTCGCGCGTTAATTTACGTTTGAACTAAAATTAATAACTTTTTTCCCGATGAGAAAACAGAAAGAATTTTAAAAGCGTCGCCTTGTTTATTCAAAAAAGATGCTTTCGCCGCGATGAGATACGCCAATTACGCGGTACGATTCGCTATCGGGAAATCAAACAGAACGCGTGATGTGTATCGGTCGCTGCCGACAGATCGACTGGATCTGCGAACGAACATGCCACGCGTTTGTATCAACGTCTTATCGCGCGTTAATACACAAAGAATTAAAGAAGCCTCCATTGACGGTCTATTTGCACAGGATTTGCTAAGTATGTAATACCGTTGTACTTGCCGCATATGTGAGCCGTAATGACACATAATAACTGACGAAACTACCTGTCTACTTTTTGAAATAAGTTCTGGAATCTTAAATGACGATTTTTTTATTTCTCTCTCTCACGTGTATATTCATATAGCGCTATTGACAATGAGTAAGTCGACACGGACCGGCTGAACGTAAAAACACAACGCACAAACGCGACCAAAAATAACCGTACTTGGGTAAAAAAATTATTCGATTGCAGTTAGTTAAATGAGAATAAATGTATTTCAGTTTTTTTTTTCATTAATATCGAACAAACTATGATAACATGTTCCTAAAAAGTTCAAGATTGACGAAGACATTCGAGAAGTATATTTTACCGAAATACAATTTATACATTATATTTATATATAATCTTTAGCTTCTATATACACTTATTATTCGTGCACGAGTATTTAATTAATTAAAAATGATTAATCATCATTTAACAATTATTAATCATTTTTACGCCGGGAATAACTCCTTCCACCTTTGTCATCTTTAGACCCGTGGGATTTCTCTCCCCTTCGTCGTTTATTCAGTGGATTTCGAGGATCGTAGATCTCGAACCAATCGTCGTCCTTCGTGCTGGCGTCCTTGGCAAGAACTGGTGCCTTCTCCTCGCAGTGCAAAACGTGTGTCATCCAGGATTCATCATTCGGATCATCGTCGTCCTCAGCATCGTCCTTCGACGTCTTCTTATCGGAACTCGCGGTATTATCCTTCGTGTGTTCCTTGGCATTTTGAAGTTTACTCTTGAATTGTTTGAATAGCTCCATCGTGAAATCCTCGCGTGTTTTACCCTTCTTAGGCAATTTTTCCTTAGCTTTTTTATATTTTTCTTGCGTCTCTATGTATTCTTTCATTATTTCAGACTTATTTTCTTTCTTCTCGGTTTGTTGCTTTTGATCTAACTCCTTCGCTTTCTTCTCGCTTTGTACGCTGCGCTTCAGATCACGTATTTCTTTTCTTATTGCTTCGCTGCAAATTAAATTTCAAACAAAATATAAACACTTACAATTTTTTTTCTAAAGATACAAATATACTTTTCACAAATATCTTAAATTTACATAATAATAAAAGATTGCGTACGCCTTTTTCTTCCATTCTTCATCTCGATCCTTTCCAAAATAGTATTCATCAACTTCCGCATCTTCGTTTATATTTTCATCTTTTGTTTCATCGTTCTCGATTTTCGATTTTGATTGGGAAGTCTTTTTAGAATCCTTCAATTTGTTCTTGATTCTCTCTTTTATAGCTCTATTAATATAAACACATTCTCTCTTTTATATATAACTCTATTAATAAACACATAATATTATAACAATCATTTTGTTACATAATATTTTATTTATTTTATATAACTTACTCTTTCTCTTCTCTTAAAGCGGCCAATTCTTCCGGAGTTCGTGTTTCATCATCACTCTCCCAATCGCTGCTGCGATCCTCTTTCATTTTTTTACTTGGTGGTTCAACAGATTCGACCACAGATTGTGAGCTTAACTTTGGATCAGATAAACAATCGTGCGCTGACTTTCCCTTGCCACTATATTGTTTGTTTAAAACTGATGATTCCTCTTCATCTTCCTCAGCTTCTTCCCCGAATGACAGTAGCTTGAAATTCCTAACATATTTACAAATATATGAAAAAATAGATATTATTATTTAAAAAACGTTATATGATTTTTTCTTACTTTACACCAGTCTTCTTATCCTTTTTTCTTTCTTTATTGTCTTCCTTCTTTTCAGATATTATTCTTGGAACAATATCCTGAAATGGATTGTGTAAGACCTCCGTTTTTATAATTTTCTGTGGGTACCGAGGTCTGTCATTCTGAAAATTAAATATTTTTGTTAACTAAAATTATACACTAATCTTTCTATGTAAAAATATAATATATGTTAAATATTTACTTCATCTACAAGTGCATCTTCCAACTTCAGCATGTTGTAAATAGTTTCGCCAGTGACCTTGCCAAAGACAGTATGTTTATTTTGTAACTCAGGTGTTGCGGCAAGTGTAAAGAAAAATTGGGAACTGTTGTCATCCTTGCCGGCATTGGCCATGGCAAGCAATCCTCTCCGACAAAAACGTAATCTCGTGTGAAATTCATCCTGCGAATAGATAATATGAGCGATAATTGTCAAACCAAATGTATATACAAGCAAGAAGCATGACTAGCTGAAATCAGTAAACGTGTACCTTAAATGGATTCCCGTATATGCTCTCACCACCTTCTCCTGTTCCTGTAGGATCTCCACCTTGCGCTATGAAGCCTTTTACAATTCTGTGAAATATTGTATCATCATAATAACCCTCCATGCAAAGCTGTATAAAATTTCTGCAAGCCTTGGGAGCTTCTTTCGTCCATAATTCCAGATCTATATCGCCAACCGTTGTTTTCATTACCACCTGTTTGGCGAAATAAAAAAGTAAATTAGAAATAAAAATTGTATCATTTATTCAATCGCTTTCCATATAATATAATAACAAAGATAATAAATTATAAAGGAATACTCTGTATAAAGGAATACTCTCCATAAAGGAATACCTCTTCTCATATTAGCTAATTTAGCTCTTTGTTTGAAAAATTTATATAGTCTCATATTTTTTTAATTTATCTATACTTACTTTGCCCGTTGTCGGCGGCTCTTGTATGTAAATATTACTCATATTTATAACCTCTCTTATTACATCCGCTCATGAGATCAGCATAAACTGGCATAAGCACGCCTGAAGCCAACGAATCAACTGTGAGACGACTGGAGCCGACTGGGTTCCATATAAACTCCGATATATCGTAGCTATTCAAGTTTCCAGTAGATGGCGAATGTTGCCAATCAGCTGTTCTTGACACTATAATTTAAATCAATGTCAAAATGTAGACGATTGAATAAAATTACTAAATTATAATATTATACAATATTAATAATGTTGCATCTATTATGGATAACAATATTATACATTTAAGATTAAAAAATAAAATGCAAATCTACAGATAATATATTATAGATATGATTATGCCTTTAAGATATATATAATTAATTATTACATCTTAACATATATTTCTTCACAAACTTAAAAATGTAACATCACAGTACATTTAATGAAATAATTTGATCGCAGATCATTGTCTTGAAAATTTTAATTTTACCATAAAGACCGCGTTATCCTCAGAACTCTACTCTTACGTACCACGTGCGTCTAAAAATCGAATGTTCGCTATATTGATAAAACATGCACGGTATCCAAGAACCTTAGTTCTGTGAGTTCGTTCTTAAGAATCTGCTCGATAATTTATAACTATTTTAAATATATTTACTATTAATCTATATTTGCAGAAAAATAAACATTTAATACTGTATTAGTAATATTCTATAAAATTATTGTAAAACAATCAATTAAAAAAAAATTCTGCAAAGTGGTAAACAGCATGTCTAATAAAAACGTGTTTGTGGACATGGACTGGGACGCTTTGGAATCAACTTTTGCAGTGTCTCAATATCCAAATTTCATTCAGCCAAATCGTATCCGATTAAAAGATTATATTAAAGAGATTTATGTCCCAGAATTTTCCGCAGAATGGAAAAGAAACATATTGGACTTGATACCTCGTGCGGACAGACGAAAACATTCTTCTTTCATAAACACAGTATTGGATGAAGTTAAAGATATGTACATTAAAAATATGAAAGCCTTTGTATTGAAATCCATTCTGTCCTGCAAAATGTACAGGAGGGAACACGTTACATGCGAGGAGTGCAACGTTTCTGCTGGCTCGGAGCGAAACGTCGTTCAGGAAAATAAAATTCAAGATCACGCAATATTTTTACAACATCGTAATCTGTTTGCCAAGAGATACTTTCTCTCATATCCGATAATCAGACACATTATGAATACCGCGTATCGTGTTCTACCCGTGTTAATTTGTGACTTCAGACGTTACCACGAACTCGGAATATTGACACTGTCTTGTTTTCAAGACATGATCCTTGAGGATATTAAGAGAGGCTCTTTAGCGATCACCAATAAATTTTATACCGAGACATTTAGAGCTGTACAGAAGTCGAAACTATTAAGAAGCGTCTCTGCGAAACGCCGATCGCAATTTATGCGGTGTCTGACGAACGTCTTCGTCCAGCAGATTCTCAGTGTAATGATGAAATCGATCGATCACGTAACAGACACTATGAAGGACGGACGTTTCTGTCCTCAAATCGAATTTCAGCTGGTGTGCGAAAGTGACCAGCTTGTAACGAAGCCGAATGTAGAGGAGGTCTTCTCGACGTATCACAATATCATCCGACACATTGAAGGTATCGCGCAAGATCTGCTGCCGTTGGATGAATGGTTGAACGTCAGAGCGAGGGAGCGGTACATAAAGATAGCGCTTCCCGACTGGTTCGTCGAGAAGTCTCACCAAAATTTACAGGAGATACTAGACGCTCTGTTTCAACCGATGAACGAGCACATAGCGCTCATCTTCATGGAATTCAGCGGTATATGCGCGTCGAGCGCCAAGAATCGGATATTATCTCTGACCGCTGAACGTCCGAATTTCGACGCTTACTTCGAGCAAATCTACACGTACAGCGAGTACTTAAGCAAGACGAACTCTATGCTCTCCAATTTGTATTACAACGTGGGAAAATTGGAGCAGAGCAGCGCTAAGGAATCCCTGAGGCAGATCTGCTGCAACGTCATAAATATTCTCACGACGGAGCTGGTGAAGTATCATCAAGACTTCAATCGTTCGATCTGTGCGGACTTTGAAGATCTGAAATCTGCGGCGCTGGACATTCCGAGGGATGCGAATTCCTTGATACAGTTGAGCGAACGTATGTCGCGAGCTTCGAAGGTGCTGATAAAGGAGCAGGAACAGAAGATACGAGAATCGGTCTACATGCTGAGCAAATTGTTAGAGATTACTATACTAACCGACGAGCATATCGATCTAAACAAGACCACCATCAATTGGCTGCACGACATTCAACCGGTGTTTGCGCAAAACAACACGTTGTGCGAGGCTATGAAGAGCGAGCTGGAGGAGGACCTTCAACGGCGAATAAACGCGTTGAATTCAGAGGTTGACGCGATGTTCCCGCAGCTCGTCATCCTGGACGACATGGACGACGTGAGCAAGGTCGGAGAATACGCGGAGTATTACGAGGAGCTGATCAAGAGGTACAAACGTATGGACGACGAGATGCAAGTCATTAATTCGGAGGAGAGACTCTTTAAGTTTCCCGAGACGGAGTTTCCGAAAATAATCGAGCTGAAGGAAACGATCGTGCCGTTTTACAAGCTCATATGTACCATTCATCAATGGCGAAGGGACAATTCCGTATGGCTGAACGGTCCTTTCGAATGCCTGGACGCCACTGTTATCGAGAAGAAGACCGTGAATTACCTCGACGAGATCACGGATATGAACAAGACGATGAAGTCGCGCATCAAGATGGACGCGACGGCGAACAAGTCATACAAGTTTTCCGGCATCGCCGACGATCCTGACCCGATGCAGCAACCCGCGCCGCTGAAATTGTGTTGGCAGACCCTCAATAACATTAACGAGTTTAAAGTTTACGTGCCGCTCGCGGTCTGCATGTGCAATCCGGCTTTGAATGCGCGCCATTGGAAGGAGATGTCCGCGATATGCAATTTCGATCTCACGCCGAATGCAGGAACGACCTTGAAGAAAATGATCAATATGAACCTGATGGACAACATCGAGAAATACAAGGCCATAAGCTTGGGCGCCAACAAGGAGCTTCGTCTTCAGCAGGAATTGGCCGAGATGCTTAAACAGTGGGAGCCGATATCGTTCGAGATGTCGACCGATGCAGAATCCGGTATGGTATCTTTTAAGCACGCGAATGACATCGAGATTCTTCTTAGCGAACATCTCATCAAAATCGGGGAGATGCGAGCGTCGCATTTCGTGAAGCCAATATTATCAGACTTAATGGACTTTCTCGCTGTCCTCGCAAGGATCCAAGAAACTCTTGATCAGTGGACGCGAGTGCAATATCGCAAACTCTATCTAGAGCCAATATTTTCTTATCCGGGAATAGAAATACATTTAAGTCAAGAAACTTCATTATATTTAGAAGCGACGAATACTTTGTTAGATATTAATAACAGATTCCGGGAGAATCCAAAGTTTCATGAAATTAAGAAATCGTCAGATTTGCTGCAAATTTTAAATAAAGCTAATGAGAAATTGGAGAAAGCGAGCAAAGGTGTAAAAGATTACTTAGATATTAAAAGACTGTCGTTTACGAGATTCTTCTTTCTCGAGGATTCAGAAGTTCAGAAAATACTGTTCGAATCGATTGACACAGGGAAACAGCATACGCTCATGAAGAAATGTTTCGCCGGCGTGGAACGATTGAAATTTAATAAATCTAACTGTATTCGAGGCATCATCGGGCATTACGGGGAGATACTGTATCTAAGTAATAACATTTCCTTATCCACTGACACTGGATGCGAAGAGCAATGGTTAATTCAGCTTGAAAAAGACATGAAAGACGCAGTTCACAAAAATATTCTGCAATATCATTCTTCGACCGATGAAAATTCGGCATTTGTCCCCATTGATAATTTTCCAAGCATGGCGATCGTTTGTAGCTTGCAACTTTATTGGACCTGCTCGGTGGAAAAGTGTCTTACGCCATTAAATGTCACGATGTTAAACTCTTTACTCACGACGTATACAAACGGGATAATTTCAATAACTAATGAATTAAAAAATGAGTTAACGCGAAGGCGTAGAAATCTGTTGACGTCATTGATCGGGATCACGTTGACTCATAAAGAAATCATAAGGTTGCTGCTGGATAGAAATATTGTTAAACAGACAGATTTTGAGTGGATTGCGCAGTTGAGATATTATTGCAACGACAAAATTGTCGAAGTATCAGTATTCAATACAACAGTTAAATACGGATACGAATATAGCTACTATCAGCAAAACATTGTTAACACTCCTCTAACTGACAGATGCTTTCGTACTGTGTTACAGGCTTACCGTTATCATTTGTACAGCAGTGTTGTAGGTCCAACAGGTACCGGGAAAACGGAAACGATCAAAAGCCTGACGAGAGCTATCGCGAAGCCGTGTTACGTCGTCAATTGCAGCAGTAGCACCTCTTACGATTGCGTGATACGGACGTTTAAGGGAGTGATCGCTTGCGGAGCGTGGATTTGCCTGGAGAACTTCGACAGATTAAGACTAGAATTGCTGTCGGCCATTGCTCAGAATCTCACGCAGATGAAACAAGCGATATCGTCGAATTCGAAGATCGTAAGCTTCGAAGGTTGCAACTTGAACTTAAACGTCTCCGGTAACGTATGCGTTAACATCAATTCGGAGCGATCGGGATACGCTGATCTGCCGGATAATCTGAAGGTTCTCTTTCGTTCCGTGTCATTGATGGCGCCGGACATCGACAAGATTGCTGAGGTGGAACTCTTCGCTGGAGGATTCCTCCACGCGAAAAATCTGGCGATGAAGCTGACTGTCAGTTATAGATTGCTATCCGAACATTTGGGTGAGAAGCACCATTACGACTTTGGTACGTCGTCGGTGAAGACTGTCATCGCGACTGCAATTAATACGAAGCGAAATATCTCGGACGAAGACGAATACACCCTGCTGTTGCGTTCGATGATACACATAAATATCCCGCAGCTGTGTAACACCGACATACCGATCTTCCAGAGCATCATGCACGACGTCTTTCCCGAGTCCGTCGTGCTTCCTTTCGATTGTTCGGCGATATTGACCGCTCTGGAAAGCGTATGCGCGAAGAGACTTCTTACGTTGCATACAATTTTCAAATTGAAAGCCGTACAGATCGTTGAACTAATGTACATTCGTCGCGGTCTTATACTCATCAGCAATCCTTTGGGTGGGAAGACGGAAATTTTACACACGCTTGCCGAAACGTTGTCGTTATTGCATGATGAAAAAAATAAAATTGGCGCCACAGTGAAACTCAAAACGGTCATGCCAGGCGTAGTGAACAGCGACGCGCTCTTTGGATATTTCTGCGATAAATCTGGAATGTGGAAGGACGGTTTGTGCACCACTATATTTCGTCGCTTTACAGAAGACACCTCGACAGACCGCAAATGGTTGGTGTTTGACGGAGACTTGAGCGGCACGTGGATGGAAAACTTGTACACAATTCTCGACGAGAATAAAATGTTGTATTTGACATCTGGGGAACGATTTCCCACGGCAGATTCAACGTCGATCATCTTCGAAACGACGAGCACGATGGAAATTTCACCCAGCGTAATATCGCGATGCGGAATAATCTATATCGACGCGCATTCCATTGGCTGGAGGCCATATGTGCTGTCTCACATCGCGAAACCGTTTTACGATGGATATAACAAAATATTGTACGCTCTCTTCGATTGGGCGATAGATCCATGTCTCAATTATTTAAGGGAAAACGGCGATATATTGTTAGATCAGGAATTACATCTTGTTACGTCGACCGTAAATTTATTTGAAATATTATTAAGAGATGCCTGTGAGGACGTCGCGGGAAAGGAAAATCACTTTGCCATATGGGCACAAGCTGCTTTAATTTTAGCTATTGTTTGGGGACTGGGTGGAAACTTGATCGAGGATTCGCGAGCTCGATTTAACGCTTTTTGTGTATCATTTTGGAACGGCACGGAGAAAGAGCATCCGAAACCTGACATGATTAAACACTTCGACGTGACGCTGCCGAACGAGGGTTTAATTCAAGATAACTTCTATATCTTTAAAGGTGCCGGAAACTGGAAGTATTGGGGCGATCTGCTAAAGAACGAAAAAATTCCCGAGATATGTAGCTTCAATCAAATTTACATTCCAAATATCAACAGTATGAAGTACAATCATATATTTTTGAAACACATTAAATATCGTAAGCCTTTCCTCTTGTATGGCGACGTTGCTGTTGGAAAGACGAGCATCATGCATGATCTTCTGAGAAACAAGCTGCCAGAAAATTGTCTCTCCAATTTCTTTAGTTTCACTTCCATGATTACGGTAACCAGAACGCAGAGATTATTGTTCTCCAAGTTAAACAAGATACGACGCACTGCCTACGGACCGGGAAGAAATCAGTTTTGCGTAAACTTCGTGGACGACGTGAATACAATTATCGTGCAAAAGCCAGAGGCGCAGTCCGTATTCGATCTCTTACGTCAACTTCTCAGCTATAATTACTGTTACGACACGAACGAATTAAATAAGGTATTCGTACAGGACATTATGTTCACGCTCGCGGTCACCGCGGGAAAGCTCGACGGAAGCGTACCTCCCAGATTGTTGAGACACTTCAACACCTACGCGATTCCCGCTCCTGCATCGGATAACATATTCAGAACATATTTTAACGTGCTGCTTGCCAATTTGAAAAAGAATCTGTTCGCGGCGGACGTCACGGGAAGCGTGACCAGCATAGTGAACGCGACGGTCGACGTTTACAAGTCCGTGATGAAGACGTTGCGGCCTGTGCCCAGCAAGCTGTACTACTACTTTGATATGAGGGATGTATCCAGAGTGATCAGCGGATGCGGCCTGATCCAAAAGGAATCGGTGGAAACGAAGATAACGTTTATTCGGCTGTGGGTGCACGAGGTCTTACGCGTGTTCAACGATCGCATGCTGGACGAGGGTGACAAGGAATGGCTCTTCCTAAGAATTCGCGACGCGGTGAAGAGCAACTTCAAAGACTCCTTCGAGATCGCCTTTGATCATTTGCCCAAATTCGAGAATCAGATCACCAAAGACAGCTTCGGCGACCTGATGTTCGGGAATTTCATGGACATGGAGAAGGACGGCAGGTGTAGACGGTACGAGGAAATCAACTCTATGGAAGCCCTGAGGAACAAGGTTCTAGCTTACTTGGACGAATACAACGCCGGCTTTAAAAGAAAAATCAACGTCGTCGTGTGTCGTTACCTGTTGGAGTCTTTGATCAAAGTTTCAAGAATTCTGAGCACTCCGGGCGGAAATTTGCTAATGATATCTACTGTGGGTTCCGGCAGAAAGTCCACGACCGCGCTTGCTGCCTTTATGCAACAGCAGACCTTGTTTCAAACCACCATCGAGTCCTATTACGACACGGAAGCGTGGAGGGACGAATTGAGAGCAGTCCTACGAGAATGCGGCGCGTTACGGAAGGACGTTACGTACTTTATAAACGAAAGACAGATGAAAGATGCGTTTTTAAGCGACATCAGCTGTCTGTTAAGCACTGGCGAGTTACCTGACTTGTTCTCCACCGAAGACAGACAGAATATAATCGAGATGACGCGACTGCACGCCCAGGGAGGTGACCGAAACGCGGAGCTCAGCGCGCGTTCAGTGATGTCCTATTTCGTAGATCAATGTAAGAACAGATTACACTTCGTGCTCTGTTTTAGTCCTACCAGCGCCGCGTTCAGAACATACTTGTGCTCGTATCCTAACTTAGCGAAACACTGCACGGTGAATTGCTATCAGATTTGGCCCGACCAGGCGCTCCTAGAGATCGCAGTGAAGCATATGAGAGACGTTAACGTGCGGGAAGAAATTAAAGCTGATGCAGCAAAAGTTTGTGTGCAAATCCATAACAGTGCGAAGGAAATTAATTTGAAATATCGCGAAATGTTCGGTAGAAACATTCACGTGACGTCGTCGGCCTTTTTGCACATGCTCAAGCTGTATAGACAGCTAACGTCGAAAAAGCAGGAAAAAATCGTCGCGACGCGAAACAGATATATAGCGGGATTAGAGAAATTGGAATTGGCGGCCGAACAAGTCGAGCAGATGAAAGCCATTCTGACGATTCTGAAACCTCAGTTGGAACTGTCCGCTCAACAGACCATGATCACTATGAAAGAAGTGGAGAATGAAAATATTACCGTGGAGCGAGCTACGATTCTCGTGAAGCAGGAAGAGGAAATTGCGAATAAGAAGGCAGAGATCGCGGGTACCCTGAGAACCGAATGCGAGGCCGATCTTGCCGTTGCGATACCGATCTTGGAAGACGCGGTAATCGCGTTGAATACGTTGAAGCCGACCGACATCACTTTGGTGAAGGCGATGAAAAATCCCCCCGATACCATCAAGCTGGTGATGGCTGCCGTTTGCGTGATGCTGGGCGTCCCTCCGGATCGCACTATCGATCCGGTTACCGGAAAGAAATTCACGGATTACTGGGGCCCGAGCAAGCGCATTCTGGGCGACATGAACTTCCTGCAGAACCTGAAGGACTACGACAAGGACGACATAGCGCCCGCGGTAATGCAGATCATCAAGAAGACGTACATGACGGACAACAGTTTCATGCCTCACATAGTCGCGAAAGCGTCCAGCGCCGCCGAGGGTCTTTGCAAATGGGTCCGCGCCATGGAATCCTATGATGAAGTGGCCAAGGTGGTCGCGCCTAAGAAGAAGAAACTGGCGGAGGCACAAATGGAATGCGACGAGGCCGAGGCATTCTTGAACGAGAAACGACAGACCCTGGCCGCCTTGAACGCGAAACTGGCGGCGCTGCACGACAGTCTGCGACAAACGTTGCAGAAGAAACTGAATCTAGAGACGGAAGTGGCGACGTGCACCGCCAAGCTGATCAAGGCGGAGAAACTGATCGCCAGCTTGGGAGGCGAGAAGAGCCACTGGATGCAATGCGCTCATAATCTTCAAATAAATTACGACAATCTCGTGGGCGACATGTTACTCTCGTGCGGAATAGTGGCTTACATGGCGCCCTACAACACCTCCTTTCGCGATGAAATGTTGATTAAGTGGAAAGAATTTATGGAAGCTTCAAAAATACAGTACACTAAAACGTACGATTTCGTAAATGTCCTCGGCGTGGAAATCGAGATTAATCATTGGCAGCTCTGCGGCTTGTCGAATAATCGCTTCGCGACGGAGAACGCCATCATTTTGAATAATTCGGAGCAATGGTGCCTTTTCATCGATTCGCAGAATCAGATAAACCAATGGATCAAGAAAATGGAAAAGAAAAATGATTTGAAAATCGTTAAACTAACGGACCCCGATTACATATCGGTAATCGAACGAAACATTGAAACTGGCACGCCAGTTCTGCTGGAAAACGTCGGAGAGACACTCGAAATCGCACTGGAGCCAATCCTGTTGAAAAATATTTACAAAGACGAAGACTGGTACATCGATATTGGAACTAAATCCATGAGGTATTCGCAAAACTTTCGATTTTACATCACCACGAGACTGACGAATCCAAATTACACGGTCGATGTTTTCGCGAAACTCACGATAATCGACTTCTCAATGCCAGATGGAACTCTTCGGGATAAACTTTTGGACATCGTTATCTCGAAGGAGAAACCGGAGCTTCAGGAGAAATTCGAAGCGCTCCGCGTTCAAGACGCCACTAACAAGAAAGTTCTTCAACAACAAGAGGACAACATCTTGAGCACTCTCTCGTCGACCACCACGAATATCCTGGAGGACGAGAAGGCGATACAGATCTTAGATTCTTCCAAGAATCTCACCGTGGACATCATGAGGAAGCAAGAAGCGGCCAGGACGATGACGGAGGACATTAACAGGTTCAGAGACGCGTACCTGCAGTTCGCCGATCACTGCGCGGGTTTATTCTGCACGCTGACCACGCTGTCCAATTTGAATTACATGTACCGATTTTCATTTTCCTGGTTCATTCAGTTGTACATTACCTCCATTGAGACCTCGAGCAGGAGCGTCGTTCTCGAGAAACGACTGCAGTTCCTCAAGACTTCGTTCACGAGGAATCTTCATTCCAGCGTCTGCAGGTCGCTCTTTGAAAAGCACAAGCTTCTGTATTCCTTCTTGCTGTGCGTAAAAGTTTTGATAGACGCGCAGCAGACTACGCAGAAGGAAGTTGAATACTTCGTCTCCTCGGACTCGAGAGACTGCGATGCGGTCGTGGACTTTCTGGACCCGATGCCAGATTGGTTGCCGATGAACAAATGGAGACAGATTTGCAGATTGAGCAGCGCGGTGCCGAATTTACGCGAACTCGCAAATGACTTTCGCGCCAACAGCGTAACCTGGCAGAAATATTGCAACGCGATACCGTTTCAAAGCCATCCGATACCGAGTCCGTGGGCCGACAGTTTGACACGGTTTCAAAAACTGATGCTCATCAAAATCGTAAGGTACGACAAGATTGTCGTGGAAATAATGCGGCTGATAGAGGACACCATGGAGGACGTGTTCAATTCCGACCCGCGTCTTCAGATATCCGAGTCCTACGCGGAGTCCAGCTGCCTCACGCCGATTATATTCATTCTGCCGAGTTACGCCTCGCCCCTGTCGCTCGTCTCCGCGTACGCAAGCGCGAGAGGATACACCTCGAAATTTGTCTCTCTGTCCATGGGTGACGAACAGCAGGCCAACGCCGAGATCCTCGTGGAGCGGGCACGCAGGGAAGGCGGATGGATATTCTTGCAGAACTGCCATCACGCCGCGTCGTGGTTACCGCGACTCGAGCGAATCTGCGAGAACCTGAATCTGTCCGGTACGTCTTTGGATTTCCGTCTGTGGCTCTCCAGCTTCGCCACTCCGGACTTCCCGATCAGCATCTTGCAAAGCAGCGTGAAGCTCGCGTACGACTATCCGCTTCGGCTGAAGCAGAGCTTGCTGAGAGCGTACCGGTCGGAGCCCGTAGGAAGCAAGGAATTCTTCGAGGGATGCCCCGGGAGAGACAAGGAGTTCTCTAAACTCCTGTACGGGCTCTGCTTCTTCCACGGAGTCGTCAGAGAGCGAAGGCACTTTGGGCCGCAAGGCTGGAACGCGCCGTACGATTTCGATCACATGGATTTCGAAATATCAGTTAGACAACTGCAGAGTTTAATCAACGAAACCGAGAACGTACCGTTCGGCACGCTGCTTTATCTGATCGGGGAGTGTAACTACGGCGGGAAAATCACGGATCGCCGTGACGAAAGGTGCCTGCGACACCTGCTAGACTCCTTCTGCGACAGCCGCGTGATCGAGAACGTGACCGAATATTCATTTTCCGACTGCGTGGAGCATTCGGTACCGCAAAGATGCGAGTACCGCGATATCATCAGGCACATCAGCGACATGCAACTGGACGCGTCGGCAGAGGCCTTTGCCTGCGACGAAAATGCTCTCGTTACAAAAGACACAGCTGTTGCCAGGGAATTCCTCGAATCGATATCTCTCCTGGATCAAATCAGATCGCCGGATCACGAAGCTGTGCAGGATCGGGCGCTGCAAGCGATCAATGAGATTACCAGTAGATTGCCCGCGTTATTTAACATCAGCGAGATACAGGACAGACATCCTACGAACTCGCGCGAGCCGTTGAACGCGATTCTCATCCACGAGGCTGAACTGATCAACAAGATTTTGTCGATGATCGCGGACTCCTTGAGCAATTTAGAATCGGCGTTGAACGGCGAGACCGTTTTGACCGAGTCTTTGGAAGAGCTGGCGAAAGAAATATGCAATAACGAAGTCCCGTGCGTCTGGAGGCTGATCGACGTCGGCATCGCGACGAGACGTCTACCAAACTACATCAACCTGCTCTCGAAGCGCGTAGACTTCGTGCGACGTTGGCGCAACAGCGACGATCCGCCTTGCGTGATCCACTTCGACGCGCTGTCTTGCTGCAAGAGATTCCTCTCCGCGGCTCTCCTCGCGTTCTCGCGACGTCGCGGCGTGCCCGTCGAACGAGTCGCGTCGCATCTTAGAGTGGCAAACGACGATTCTACGTACGGCGAGGGAGACGAGGACGCTTATTACATTCGCGGTTTACATCTATCTGGCGCCCGATGGGACACGCAGAGGCGTGCGTTGATCGAAAGCTCGACGAACGTATTCTGGTACGACATGCCACCGATATGTCTTGTATTCAGCGGAGAAAAGAGAGCTGAAAAGAGAGTTGATGATGTGTACGAGTGCCCTGTATACATCTCGCCGATGCGATGCGACGGAGCAGATGCCGATGCGAGTATGAAGAACTACATCACGAGCGTGCTCTTGGAAACTGATAAGCCGCACGTACACTGGATAAAACGTGGCACAGCGTTATTCTGCCAAGTTGAGAAATAATTTCTAGTTTTTTGCGCTCCTAATTGTTTTTCGCGAACGAGCGAAGATTGGGTTTTCGTTCTCAATAATCTAATCTACTCTCTCAATTAGTCTAATATACGTGTATGTACAATAATTAATTTATATAATTTATTGAGGAGGGAGATTTGGAGAACAATGAGGAATGTTGCCGCAAAGCGCTACGTTAAGGTACGTGGATGTGTCACGTTTCAAAAGCATTACCAAAAATATAAAAATTCTTTTGAAACGCTTGTTTTACATTTCGCTGTTCTAATTCATCTTTCCTAGAAAGTTTCATTTACTGTCACTCTCCCTTTACATTCGATTTATGCTCTGATCGGCAATTATTTAGATAACATTTTGCCAGCAGATTCAAGCAGAATATATTATATATTTGCGACAGATCGACATCAACAATCAAAAAGTTCATATTAAGTATCTTGCTAGCAGAACTTATCGATTTACTTAATTTGAACAAAAAAAAATAAAAGTTAAACGAAATATGTATTATTTAAATTAATGGATACAAAATGGTTTTACATTTGCGGTTTCTATAGTCAATCTGCCATCGTATTCTGCTATCAAACTTATAATTATATTTTTGTTAACGTTCTGCCAAGAAAATTTGCACTAGATGCTTTGCAAAATCTATATTCAACAGATTTGACTATCTAAATTATCATTTAAAGGACCCCGCACAAAACCACGTGAAAATAGGTCCTAGTTAATGTAGCTGAATTTTTGATATTTTGTAGTTCTGATCATCCTAAGTCCTAAATCCTCAAAAGTCTCCATAGGCACAAAGTCCAAAAATGAGTAGTTTTTGAGTTACATTAAACTCTGCCAAAATAGCTAATTCTGTATGCTTATTCGAAAGTACATTTTCGTGATTGTTATTGATTGCGCATGTGTGTGTACATTCATAGACATGTTATGTATATATATATATACATATATATAATACATTTATATATTTATATATTTATATACACATAATATATAAATAAATAAATAAATAAAAATATATATACTGTGATTATATGCTGTATATATTTATATATATCTGTTATATACATCCCCGTTCTTAGCATAACCCAGGATCAACGACGAGGACGTGACGGGGTTCTGATCCCTTTTTTATATATTTTTT